GGGTGGGAAGGAATGTGACATTCTCGGCGCTAATCTGTCTATGAGTTCCTGTCTCGATCTGGACACGACAGTCATTGACATGGTTAACAAAAATCTGAAGAACTTCACACAAGAAGGTATTCCTTTCTCGACATGCAGCAAGGACTGTCCGCCTGGTTATCACAAAAATCCCGAGAAGAATCACGCAAAGTGTTGCTGGGAATGTCGACTGTGTAGCGGTAACACTATTACGAATCAAACCAACATGGACGACTGCACCGCATGCCCTCGAGGATATCGCGCAAGTAATAACCATTCGCGCTGTGAGCCCATACAACCCACGTCTTTACACTGGAATGATACGTTAGGTGTGATAATTATCTGTATATCAGGTGCTGGCATCCTGTCGGTAATTTACACCTTTGCAGTGTACTATGTCTACCGTGGGACACCTGTTGTGCGAGCGTCCAGCAAAGAGCTGTGTTACATTCTGCTTTTTGGTATCGCGTGGTGTTACGCGACACCCATCGTTTTTCTTGTCAATCTAACAGACCAGGTCTGCAGAACAATTCCGTTTGTCACAGGTCTATCCCCCGCGCTGATAGCTGGGACACTCCTCACCAAGACGAATCGCATATCACGTATTTTCAATCGCAAGCTTTCGAAAACAGGGACTCCAAGTTTCCTGTCCAAAAAATGGCAAGTGTTGATGGTGCTGTGTCTAGCGGTGGTGGAATGTCTTATCGGAGGAGGATGCGTGCTCTTCAACGAGACTGGAAGCAAATTGGTGATCTCCGAATCTAAGAAAGAAGTTTTGAAACAGTGTAAAGAGCTGCCTGACATTTGTACAGCGATTTGGTGGGTGTACAACATGGGGCTGGCCTTGACTTGCACGTATCAAGCATTCCGCACGCGGAAATTACCCGAGAACTACAACGAGGCCAAGTTTATCACCTTCACCATGGTGATAACGTGTATAGTTGTAATAATTTTCATTCCAACGTACATAGGAACGAAAGGGATCTACAGAACTACCATAACCTGTTTTGTGTTCATCATAGGCGGTTCCTCAACCCTTTGCTGCATGTTTGTACCTAAGTTGTACATAATTCTATGGAGGCCTGAAAAAAATGTGCCCATGCAGCCTCGCTCCTCGACAATACGTTTGGGAACCATTTCTCCCTCAGCATCTTTTGTGAGGCGTTTGAGTGTAGACTCCACCTTCAGTGACAAGGCCAGAGAAGGAAGAAAAACACGAATTCACTCACTGCCTACGATTGAACTAAGTGGAGCCGAAGGCGAGAATGGAGAACACCAAGAAGTGCCGAGAATCAAGAAAACTACCCGATCCTTTTCTCTCAGTCCGGACATGCTTTCAGGAGGTCGAACAAACCTCGAGCGGAGTCCTGAGCGGAGCCCCGAGAGGAGCCCAACGAGGCTGTTCCCATCTCGCCGAAGGGGTAGTCTTCAGGCCCCTTCTGCCATGCATTCCTCCATGGAAATGATCGAGGAAGGAAACGAGTTTGAAATATTCGGAGCCAGTAACGAGTGTGCTGGTGGTGCTTTAGACCGTCGAGACCTTCGCGCGGGTTTGGAACGGCTGAAAACGGAATTCTATGAACTCCAAGAAAGAGATGATCGCTTAGACGCGGAAGATGAAAAAAATTACTGCGAAGATGAAGTTTTTCTGCCTTTAGACGTTGAAAATCAAAATGATTACCACAACGAAGAGGAACGTGAAACTTCTGACGGTGATTCTGGAAGTAAAAATCCTATCACTTGTGCTTCGAATCTGGATAATTGTCAACCAGAAACGCAAACAGTGTCTACGAATAACAGATTATCCTGTCAAAACTGTGGTACTATAGTCTCCCACATAGACCGAGATTTGTTGATCGAAGTTTTGCGTGCGCACTTGGCAAGGAACGGTAGAAACCAACCTGGCGAGAGAACTAAGAAAAATTCTGAAAATAGCCACAGTCACAAGACGGTGACGTTGCCAGAGAACCCGAGCGATCAAAATGACGCTAGTACACGCAGGAGAAAGTCAGGAATATTTAATCAAAAACCTAAGGATAAACGCTTTTCCAGGAACGGGTTAGACTTAAATGATAACAGGCCGGCGAAGAAATTGAGAAATCCAAGCTACTACAGCTGCGAATCCATTAGTTTGCCTTCTCTCGTTAGTGTCTTCTCTCAAGAAGAGTGCACTCTTGATTTGGGCGTGATGAGGACCAAGAATACTGAAGATAAGCAGAAAAAAGCCAACAAGGCGCTCATGAACGGAAAAAACTGCGGTATTAAGGGCGGCGTTTTAAAAAGACCATACTCTCAGCCAAATGGAAGTGTCTGTCACGATCTAATAAATGGCGAAGAAAGTGACTTTACCACCGAAAATGATAAACTTCTTTGCGAAGAAGACAAAGAGTTGGAAACTGTGCTGTAAGAGCGTTGTTCGGTAGCTTCTAATGGAGGTCGTTTTGTTTTCGCGCCTTAAGCCTGCTGCAAAACCTTTTACACGTTTTAGGATTGAGTGTCGGAAAAACCAAAACCAAATTTATCAGAACGACCAATCAGAACACAGGAAGTTATCAACAGGAACCAATGAAATAATAGAAAAAAGATAGCATGCAGCCGCCTCTAAATAAACGCGTGCTGTCATAAGGGCAAGAAAACGCGAGGAACTCGGACGAGAATGCCTTAGTTTTGTTATCTGATTGGTTGAGATGGTGGCGCAAATTTTTTGGTTTCTTGGAAACATAGGTTAAAGCATGCTATTGCGCCAACTCGATTATTTAAAAAATAAGAAGTCACGCAGGTGCGAAAAGAAACTGTCACGCACTATCGCGTGACGACTACAGTCGATGACGAAGGCATCTGATAGTTTTCCTCATAACGCAGGCGAGCGATTGAAATTTGAAACACATGGACATTAAGTAAATAAATGATATATATTTGTATATATACAACCGTTTTCAAAAACGTTGCAACATTGAAAATATATATTTACTATATGTATATATATCTTTTGTTTTCTCGTCAAAAAGTGTCTCTTTTTGATGAGAAAAGTAAAGGTATATTTAATACATAGTTTCAAACAATCATCATTTTTGAAGACGGGTATATATATACGCAAATTGTTATGTAGGGTGTCTAGAATCAAGAAGTTACGGCAATTTTTCAAAATAAAATAATCAAGACAAGAAACTTAGCCTTTAGTCAAAAGCTAAATTGAAGGAGCTAAATCCATATGCAAACCAACAGAGTTAGGAAAAAACATCTCCTTTTTCATTTTTCTCCACTGTTGGTTATTCATCATATTTGATCATTGACAGATTTGGGGAATAGCTTCCTGGTTTCACTCTTCTCCATCGACCAAAAGCCTAGCACAAGCTAACATGGGTTTAATTTATTTGAATGGAATTCTTGTTCTCTCGCCACCTCTATTAGTTTTTAAATGATGCTTGTGCATCTCTGGAAACCAACCTCTGTCGTCACAAGATGTAACTCTTTCACCCTCAAGATGTCATAGTAATTCTCATTACTGTCTTCCATACAATTCTTATAATGTTAGTTCAAAGAATTTGGTATTGGATCAGCCAATATTCTGTTATTTGATATTTTTCTTTATCTCATCATTCTCCCACCTGATATTTTATTGATATTGTAAGGAGAAATTCTGCCTTGACTGACCCCTTGGGTCTGACTCTTGGGAGATGAAGTGTTAAACATCTTAGTCTCTGTGAAAGTTTTTCATCTTTTACATCAATGGCCAACATTCAACATCTAAATTCTCCTCAGTGGTCTGCACATGTTTTTCTATGATAGCAATTTCCTGATTTGTGCTCAGTGAGGACTATTATCATTTGCCGATCAGATCCTTCACTCTCACAACCTGAACTGATGATGATGAGGTGACTCTGTTGAGGGACATTTTAAGTCGAGCCCTTTCACTTCCCATGGTGACCAATCATACATTTCTCTTTACAATATCAAATTTCTTTGAAGAAGTATCTAGCCTGTATCAGGTGGATGTTATTGGCACACTCCACAAATGTTTTTTGCCCATAGGAAATTATGAACCTTGCGCAACATAAGCTGACAAGAGATTTGCAAGGGCCTGGTATTGATAAATTCTATTGGTGCCACACCCCAGGCAAACTTCTCCCTGACTTCTTCCATTGCCCAAAGAAATAATGAGGGCCTGCAAAGAAAGGTGTTTAAAAAGACAAAAAACAGATCTTGTTTGATTTTTCGTACCTTGAACTATAAATATATGGATCTCAAGAGTGGAAGAATTTCAGGGTTATTGGTTTAGCACCCCACATTGAGAGATAACAGTGACTCTTTCGGGATCCAGCTTTGCATACAATTGATTAAGATTTCTAAGCTGACACAAAGTCTTTGCCAGGGTTATAGACAGAGGGAATTTAGAGGTATTTTCAGCACATAAGATGGGCAACATTACTGTACATCTTTTTTTAAGTCACTTTCCTGTTTCATTATGGAAAGCTATTAGGATTGTAAGTAGAATAAGAAAGAAAGATTTAAGCTTGGTAAAGAAATAGAGAAAGATGTTTTTGTCATGTCATGAGCGTGGACAATAAGAAAATTCTGAGTCCCCATTATGGGATTGTGGCCAAAATCATAATTCAAAATAAACACTACAAAAAAAAATTCTAGGAGGTACAAATTATCTCAAAGTGCGTGTTTTGTAAATGTTGCTAAGTCTAAACTTTCGTGAAGCAGAATAAAGCGTATTTTAAGGGAAATGAGAGTTGATAGGAATGATAAGAGCAGCCATTTGAACAGGTATTGAAGAATTTCATCAAAGTTCTTCAATACAGGGTTTTCATTACAAAATGCAATGGCAAGGGATTGGTGTCAAGGAACAGGATAACAGGGAACAATTTCCTCATCTAAATAAAAAATAAAGGGGGTAAATTTCTAAAGAAACTGTGGTGTTACATTATTGGGAATTAGAGAGTTAAAAATATTAAATAAAAGACATACAACACTACTTGACATTCAAATTCCAACGCATTTATAAACTTGCTGAACAAACAATGACTTACAATTTACAAACTGTTCCCTTAGGTCATCATTTAAAAGAACTGTTATACACCTGTGACAAAGTTCCAACTTGCGTAGAAATCTCTCCACACAGTACATTTCACATCTGATCACACCTTCTGTAACTTTAAAAGGACCAACCAGTCATTAATCAAGAGAGTTAATTGTTCCTAGGGGGCTGCCACTCCTCGATCTTTGGCCGGGTAGTACTGTAAGGAACGTATTCCAATTTGGTGCCTGTTTTGTTAGTTTCGTGAGCCTGAATAAACTTCCTTTCCGCTGGGGGTACTTTCGTGGGAGGGTCATCTGTCATGTAGTGCATCCAACGATGCCATTCCGCGGGAATCTGGCTGGCATCGAAGGTGTAACGATCCACGTAAGGGTAAACAACAAAACGATTTCTTCCCATGAAGTACGTGTTATTTTCGAAGTACTTATTTCCATATTTGTCTGTTCCAATCAGAGTTCCTGTACGAAGATTTGTCTCTCGTAGAATCCTGTAAAATGAAGCCTTCCAGCCACCAGCAACTTTAACAGCATTTAGCTCGGCTCGAATTGCATTTAAAAAGTAGGACATCTTTGCTAAAAGCCAACAAGCAAGATGGCTGATATTTTGCTTCGCCGAGCGCAGATGTTTCTGGGTAATCTTCTATTGACAATGATCAGCGGATAATCATTGAAGAGTAATGGCGGACAGCGTAGATCGAACGTAGCTCAGAGATTCTAAGTTTTGTCATTTTATTACCCGAGGTTGTACCTTATACTCTTCAAAATGGTATGTAAAATTTGAACTTGTGGTTTTTTAGCTTCCAGGTATACATTTTTCCCTCCAAGGACCACTCTCTTTTTACCTAGTATTCTAAAGATGTTTTTCATGCTGCATGTTTTTCTCAGTGTGTAAACGAATCATTCATTAACGGTTGTTTGTGTTTCTCTTTTAAAGGCAAGAAACGCAGAAAAGGCTATGTAAGTTTAATATTTAATTTTTATGTTAACTTCTGCACTTACGGAAAAGAGATGAATCATTGAAATACTTGTTCATATCTAATTACATTAAATGGAATTCAGTGAGACATGAATTCAAACCAGCTAGGTATACATGGGGATCAATTTAGTAATAAATATGTATCGTTCCTCTAGGACCATGCTTGCTCGCTGGTATGACCTTCAAAGAAAAGAAGCAGGCAAGGGGATCAAGGTAATAGTTTCACTATGTTGATATTAAATTAGTCAGAGCTTTTATTTTGCCTTCTAGCCAAATAACCTCTATGATTACCCTTACCATACTCAGATTATTTAGCTGATTCAGACAAGAAATTTTGTTACTTAATTAAAAACCAGTCAATGCACAACCTCATTTGAAGAGTACTGCTATAGCTCGAGTCAAAGCCTTTTTTCATTCTTGTAATAAGCTCCCCCTGATGCAAGCCCCCCCCACTATAAGCCCCTCAAGATATGTGCCCTCCCCTTAGATACAAGCCCCTCTGTTTATAAGCCCTCCTAAAACCCATTACAAAGTTGTGTAAGCCCAATGCTTTTCAGCAGCAGTTTACAGTATTAGCCCATACACTGCCATTATGTCAAAATACTTGCAACCATAATCAGAATTTCTTTACTTGAAACAATAATTCTTAACTAATCTGAGGGATAGCTAACTTTTGACTGAGACCCTCAGTTGAAAGAAACTGTCTCTAACTTTGAGAACCTTGAAGAAAATGTGTGACAAAAAAATTTAAGAGACCTTCAGGTTTTCAAGGTGCTGTTCACAGTATCCAGTTGTGTCTTATCCACAGACTTTTTGTACTCAGTTGATTCATACTCAAATTCAGACAATTTATACCTACTTTGATTTGGTTCATACCCATCCAAATGTCAATCACAACTCAAGCTATCTCATGAAATACCTCCTGTCTGAGTGGGTGAACAGATGTCAATTGCTGTGTACAGACCCCCACATTGTTCAGTTTCAGGCCTTACATATGGTGGTTGGGCATTCAATATGGATGCCATATAAACAAAACCTATGTAATGCAAATGGTATTGCTGTTTAACATAAGAAACCAACTTTACTCTAAACAAACTTTTGTGAGATGATTGATATAATTTTTTTGACATATGATTACATTTTATCTTTTGAATGGTGGATTTATCAGGAAAGAAGACCATTTCTAGCAACAGAATGTGATAATTTACAAGAAGCAGAAAAATGGAGGCAGCAGGTTTGATGACAATAATCAGTGCAGTTGAACCTCAATTATTTGGACTCATAGGAACTGGGTTGAATAGTCCAGATAATCTAGAGTCTGGATAAGAAAAATCTAATATGAGTATTGATGAACCAAGATAAAAGGACAGTCTCAAACTATTTTCCATCATTTCCAAAATTTGCCAAGCTATTTACAAAAACTGTCTTAAAAGCTGTATTAATGTTGTAGCATCAACATTTTTTCAGTGCATCTGTTTTGCTTGATGGGAAAAAATTTTGGATCCAGAATGAGAGTGATCAATTTTTGTGATAAAATGGAACTAGAGAAGCGAGTCCAGTTAAACAAATGATCTGGAGCTTCAAAGTCTGGATAATCAAGTTTTAACAGTACTGTAAATGTATGAAAAATATTTTACCATGGCACAAGTTGAATGCGAAATGAAGTGTTTAAGAACTTAGTTCTTTTTTTTTTGGTTAATAGATCATACGAGAAGTTGCTAAGAAAGTTGCCCAAATTCAAAATGGTAAGTAAGAGAGCTTCAGTCATACAACTATACACACTTCCACAGTCATACAACTATACACACTTCCACAGTCTGTCCTATCTAGAATTTGTTTTCACATTATTCTACCATGATACTGAACATGTCACTTATCTACAGCTGGCCTTGGTGAGTTTAGAATCCGTGATCTAAATGATGAGATCAACAAGCTTTTGCGAGAAAAGAGGCATTGGGAGGATCGAATTAAAGAGCTTGGTGGGCCAGACTACGGTGTAAGTGGACTTAATGTACTATTTTTCTCTTTTGCTGTAAAGGCTTAACCCTTTACATCCTAACCTCAGTATGTATACTCTCCATATTGTTGTTTATACGTTTCCTGAGGTGCTGACAAGGAGAATTTGTTTAACAATCAAGAGCGTTTGACAATCAAGAGCTTTTTCAGTTGGTGATCGTTTCCTTTATTCTCATGACCTTAATGTATGATTCAGAGGTGATATTGTAGGGAGAAGTTAGATGCGAGTCATTCTTAAGGGTTAAAGTACACAACACAAAGTAGAAAGTATACTTTAAAGTATAATTTTGTCAAAATCAAAATTTTATTCAATAATGTGTAATCATCGCATTAAAGAGCTTGGCAGGCCAGACTATGCTGTTAGTGGAATTTCTGTAACATTTCATTACTCTTTTGCTGGTATTTGCTCAAATCATACTGAACACAAGGTAGAAAGTACACTATAAATAATTGTTTTGTCAAAACCAACATTATATTCAATGATGTGTAGTTATTTCATTAAAGAGCTTGAAGGGCATTACACAAGTGAATGTGATAAACTGACATTTCCAAACTTTCCAATTTCGTACAATACATTACATATTATTTCGTAAAATTTTGTCACAGTCAACCATCTTCAATATAGTACAGATTATTATAGTTATACTTAATAAATAGAGTTATAACACAAGTCCGATAAAAGATGTAAATTAACATATTACATTTTATTTGAACTAATTAATTATTATTGACAAGTATGATTTTCACTTGATGAAGCACATTTTTCCAAAGTACCTATTTTATTAATTTTGATTTTTGAAACCACTTATTATTTTGGGAGTGGACTGTCTGATTGATTTTGAAAGGTATGTGCTGACTCTCTGTGTTTTACCAAAAACTGATCATTTTCTTATTTTCTCAATTTTTTTTTCTTTCAGAAAATTGGACCAAAGATGCTGGACCATGAGGGAAAAGAAGTACCTGGAAATAGAGGATACAAGTGTGTTTTATACTTTTTATTACATTCATTTTGAAATCACTGGTGATCCTTGCAATCCCATTGGCTCTCATCAGTGTAATTTATTCATGAATCATACCATTTTTTGCTCTAAATTGCATCTTTTTCCCAGCCATCGGGAAACCTTAAGTAAAACACAACAACCCATTAGATTTCAAGGCTTGTTTATAGTAACCAATCAAATTAGAGGACTGAGAAGGAAAGACAAATTTTGCAACTTTTAAAAAAACTAGCTCAGTACTGGATAATAAAATATCCTGTAGCTGAGGGATTGAATTTTGCATTTTCAAAATGGATATAATCAAGATGTAATTGAACTTTGTGTCTTGCAATTTTGGTCTGAAATCATACTTGTGATTTCAAATTGAACTCATGCTGTGTGCTTGGTAGATTTTCAAATTACATGTATGATTTCAGACTAAATTGCACTCCCCTCAGTTCAAGTACCATTGTAAATTCCTCAACCTCTAAGATACAATTAGCTATTCTCCCTACAGAGTGCCTTTCATTTCCTTGTGAATAAGAAAGAAGAATTCAGAGCTGTCAGAAAGAGCCAGTAGGCAGGCAAAATGGCCAGCTAGCTGCCATCACCTCATTATCCCATGATGAAAAAGATCATGCAATTACTAATTGAAATACCATTGAAGAAATTTCTAAAGGTTCCATTTCCCAGTTTTGAGTGGAACTGAATGCAAGATTTACTAGTGTACAGGTTTAGTTGGGTGAATCAATTACACTTTCAGAATTTGTTTAAAGACTCTTGCAAACTGTGTGGAATACCTTCAGGAGATATTTGAAGTTAGTAGTTCCCCAAATTTCCTGAAATCTAATGGCAGACTGAAAGAGTCTCATTTTAAAAAGATAAGATACTGGAATTACAACTAGGAGAATTTGCATATTTATCTAATATCTGTTAAGAGTCAGTGGGATGCACAGTAGCAGTAAGTGCACTGGATTCCAGGTCGAGAGATCTGAGTTCAAGACCAGGCCAGGTCACTGTGTTGTGTCCTTGGGTAAAACACTTTCCTCCCACAGTGCCTCTCTCCATCCAGGAGTATATATGGGTAGCAGCGAATTATCCAGAAGCCTGATGAAATGCTGGGGGAAACCTTGGGATGGACTAACATCCCAATAGGCTCGAGTACAGACTTTTTTTAAGAGTTAAATGGCCACCAAGACACTCTCCAGTTTCGATAATTGTGAGTTTGATGCTACCAGTTATTTTAATTAATTTTTGCTTTTTGATACAAGGTATTTTGGAGCAGCCAAGGACCTCCCTGGTGTCAGAGAACTTTTTGAGCAGGAACGTAAGTGTTAAATCATCCAACAACTAAAACAGAAAAAATATGTTTCATTGTAACTCCTAATCTGAATTCTCAGTGGTCACTGAAAACTTTTTTCGTAATTTTTTTTGTTTTGTTTTTTTTTTTTGTTTTACATTACAGCACCAGCACCTCCAAGGAAGACTAGGGGAGAATTGTACAAGGATGTTGATGCAGACTATTATGGCTACAGGGATGAAGATGATGGAGTGCTGGTTCCCTTGGAACAAGAAATTGAAAAGGAAGGTAGGTCAACAGCTATTTCTGGAAAAGAAACATTTAAATCTTCAACCCTAAATGTCTGATCATTTAAATAAAGTTTATAGCCGTTGTTTAACAAAGCTGCATCCTAAACAATCCGTAATTTAGCTGATACTTTAAACATTTATTTTTGTCAACAGTTTTAAAAGGGCCGAACATTAACAATGGAAGGAGATTTATTTAATTAAATCAATCTTCTTATTTAGAAAGGCTGAGGCCTACTGATTGCATAGAATCATGATTTAAGTTAAATTGGCCTTAAGGGTGATAAGCATCTAATTTCTCCCAACAGTTTCATCTCTGATTGAAACAGTAAGGTGATGAGAATAAAGGAAATGAAAAAAGCTTAAAATGCTCTTGATCATTAGACAAATTCTCCTTGTTAGTACCACAGGAAATTTATAGAGAACAGTGTGGAGAATATGCATACTGATGTTGGTGTTTTTTTCATTTTCTTTCTTTTTTGTTTGCATTTTAAAAGCCATTGCCCGAGCACTGGATGAATGGGAACGAAAGAAAGAAGAAGGAGAACTGGGAACTGAACAGGAGCAAGAGGAAGAAAATATATATGCTGTCACAAAAGAACAAGAGGTGAAGCAGACTAATTCCTGCATGAAAAAAAAAAAGTATATCAATCTATCACTCTAAGACCTATCACTCATGATAAATAATTGCAAAAACTGTGAGCTATGCTGCTAGGCCGCTTTGAATTTTACATTTATATATATTTGATATCTTCTAAGCTTATTTTACAAAGTTCTTATACTTTGTTCACTTGTTTATTTATTTATTTATCTATTCTATACATTATGAATTGAAGTTTGAATAATTTTAACTTTATGTAGCTTTGGTATATTATAATGCGTAAATTAGTTTTTAATTGATTGTTGATAGAGCTTTTTGTTCACTTTTTATTTATTTATCTATTCTATACATTATGATATTTTCTTTATTCTCATCACTTGTGTGAATAATTTTAAGTTAAAGGGTCAATTAATCAATGAGGACTCAAAGCTAGAGCAGACAACCCTGGTTGAAGCGCGGGAAAATGCGGGTGACTAACTTGGGATTGATTTTAGTTTTGTATTTGGCTGGTAAACAGTGTCCCCAAACCGGTTCAGTATTCACTTTCATTGCTTAATTGAAAACCGCTGAATTAATCACAGGTCGCGTTGGTTTTGCTTTTTTGTGCCTTATCTTAACCAATCAGATACAAAACTTAAGGCAGGCGCGTCCGAGTCGCTCACGTAATATGGCAATTATTCTCTCAATATACCGTGATGTTTCCGCGTACGTCGTTATTATTATACTTTTAGTTTTAAGACGATCAAACCAAAAGCGGTACATTGTTCACGCTTTTGTTCAAATACTGACAAACTATTCTAACTTTCTTTTATTCATTCATTTTTTATTCATTTATTTGTTCATCTACATATTTACCCATTTTTCCGTACAGGATAGCGATGATGACATGGAAACAGACCAAACTGAGGAAGGAAATCAACCATTTGTTGCTCATGTTCCTGTACCATCACAAAAAGAGGTTTTAACACTAGCTTGAATTTTTTTTTTTTTGTGATTTTTTTTCAATTTGTGACTATCTTTTGTTTGTCGTCGTCTTCGACAAAGTGTCGTCTTCGGTAAATTCTCGTCTTTGGCGATCTCTCGTCTTCTGCAGAGCTTCATCTTCAGGAATGCCTTGTCATGAAGCAGCTTTGATTTCAATTCCTTCTTCCATTTTTTGTCCAATTTAACAAAGTGCTGTTTTGCTCTTACAGGTTGAGGAAATGCTCGTTCAAAGAAAGAAAATGGTACGGCTTTGATGCTCTCAACTTAAAAACTGCAATTATTTTATTTAGTAACTTCAATTTACGCGTGACTTTTTCTATATTACATTACCAACGTTATCATTTTTATTTCAGGAACTTCTCGAAAAATACGCCAGCGAGACTCTTATACAACAAAGCCAAGAAGCAAAAGCTCTACTCGGTCTTTAACACCTTGCGCATTCATTTGTTCACAATATCCAACTCAAAGCCGAAGGAGTCTCCTACAAAGGTTACTGCAATTAATAACAGGTCAAGTGACATTTAAAGTTTTCATGGCAACCAAAAAAATGATTGACGTGAACAACAAAGCCTCGCTCCCGTTTTTTCTAGGCCGCAAAAACAATGGTGCGTAGGATTAGGATGTGAAAGGACTTGAAAGAAACTCTGTCAAATAAGCAACTTATCACATAAGAAGGCGTGATATTCCGCTGCGATTGGTTGTTAAAAGCCGACCAATTGCAGAAGAGAAGAATACCGCATAAAGTGACGCGTAACCACTCGATTTAGCTGTTTGAATAAGATCGGGAATATACAGTCGAAACATCGCTATCCACATCATAAATTACTCCGTCTTAAGACAAACAATTATCGTACTTGGTTTTTATTGTTTCTTCACCACGATCAACAGACGCAATCTTTCATGGAGACATTGTAAAGTATTTGTAAATGAAGAGAAGTTCGCATGTGTAGAATGAAGTTTATATAAAAACATTTAAGAGTCACTGAAGTGTATGGCAAAGGACTTTCATATGTACGACCATATGTAGAGTTTTTACCCTTTTAAAGCTCAACATCAGTATACATATTCTTCATACTGTGCTCCATACATTTCCTTGGGTGCTGATACCTCAAAGTGTGATTTGGAAGTAATTTTGTGAGGAGAAATTAGATGCTGGTCACTCCAAGGGGCTCAAAAGGGTTAACCAAGTCACATGCTAACTCTCCTAAGTGGGGATCATTCATGACTTCAGGGGCTAATAATAAGAATTTGATTATGCATCTAAACAATGTACAGGGCATGGTTAGAGGCGTCTAGGGGGCCCGTGACCCCCTCCTGTCAGGGGGATTATTTCTCTCAACTTCAGACTTCAGTGTGGTAGGTAATGTAGCAAACTCTTACCCCACCCCCCCCCCTCCTTGAATAAATCTTGCTACTACTCAAGTCCTATTCACTAATTAGTAAATCTCGTTGCCTGATGCATGGCAGTGTGTCGTTGTAAAACTGTAGGGACAACGATATAGCGTTTGTTAGTAGGGGTTGAAAACGATCAATTTTAAGTGATCTTGCCTATACAAAGATAATCTGGCAAATAGGGTATCAAAATTGAAGATTGCTCTGCACTGTGTCCAAACTCCAAAACAAATCGTCAGAAACTATAAAAAGAAACATCCAAAACTTATAAACGAAGGAACGGAAGTCAGTAAATGAGGCGCTAGAACTTGAAAACGAAACGCCGGCGCCTGACATCGCTGAGGTAATGTTCGTTTGAGTGATCACAGTCATACTACTATAAAAAGCGTTGTGAGTGACCGTGTGATTTTCTCTGAGAGGGGCCCCTTATTGCATAATTAGGTAGAGCGAAAGAAAATGTGGCGATATTTTCGACACTCACAATTTTTTTTCGCGGGACATGTCATTTCAGTCGAACTTAATAAACTTCTTGAATGATCTTCGTTTTCGCGTGGGCGACCTGTAGGCGCCGTCACCTCCCAATCCTAGGCATCACTACTCAGCCCCCCCTTCCCCCTAAACAAGCTGAACTCGGAGACGTACCACTGACTCGTAGATTTAATAAATCATCTTTCCCTTTCCGTTTCTGGTGGTGACTTACATTCCTGTCCTTTTTTGGCAAGTCTCTGACTCTTCCTTGAACGAAGTCTGGGCACGAACTGACATAATATGTAAATTTGAACAGTTGGCAGCGAACTAATCACAACTTCTCATTAGGGCCGTAAATGCACGGGTAGTTTTCTGCTAATATTAACTTCTCATGTGATGAAATCAGCCGACCAGGATGATTCCTTCGACTATCTTTTCAAAATAGTTTTAATCGGTGATCCAGGAGTCGGAAAAACATGCATTGTACAGCGGTTCAAAAAGGGGACTTTCGTCGAGCGACACGGCAGCACAATTGGGGTCGATTTTACAATGAAGACAGTTCTTGTTGACGCAAAAAAAGTCAAGGTAAGGGCAAGGGTAGACTAAATAAAAATCGCATTTGTTTCGACCCGAATGACTCGGGTAGCAAGCGGCTAAAACTCCCAGAGTTTGGCGTCTAAATATCCATCATTTATTTATAATTTCCATGGAGTCAGTACACACAAGTGAAATGTGCATAAAAATATAAGTTCCAGGTAGTTAAATTTATCACCTTATCACCAAGGAAGATGTTACGCTCAATTTTCTGTGAAATTTCCACCGTCTTTTAGCCATTTCCCATATATATATGCAATCGCCAAAACTCTTTGTTTATCTTCTCAACCTTCGTTGTAGACAACGCGAGTTAGTCCGACAAAGGTTTTAGAAGAAAAAAATTATTTCAGTCAGGGCGAACTTCCTTAACCGATCGATTTCTACTCTCATTTTTGTCAGTAAACAGAGACTGGATTTTAACTCGGGTATTTCGATTTGTAATAAGTTGTACAAAATAGAACGATGACGATTTTAGCACCATACAGTTCGGTTTGTGTGAAATACATTTCAAGTACACAGACCTAAATAGCTAATGGTTTGTTACTTTATCTGTCAAGAAATAAAAAATAAATAGTTGTTATGAGGTAAACTTGACATTCTCTAAATAAGCTTAAAATTAAGCAACTCTACAATAATTTTTTTCGTTTTCTTTATGTGGAGTCCCAGAGGATAGCTTCCCAATATATAACAGTTTTGCACAACACATGCAGAAATGTCGGTTGCCTGTTGTTAATAATTAACTACAACTTAAATAACCAAATGTTACATCTGATCTATAAGTAAAACGTAGAGAAACAGGAATGCACAACACTCATTCATAGAATGGCTCAATCCAGACTGTTGCATATAACTAAAACCTTCTGAAATACCCAAAAGACCATGAAACTGACAAATGCTACATGCACTTCTTGAAGTACCCAGGCATGTCTCTACAGTTTGGATAAGAAATTAGTTATTTTTGGGTGTTTACACACCCCAGACCAAACAAAAAGAAAAGTGAAGGCAAATGACAATAAAAAACATCAACAAAACAGTGTGATTTTATGTAAATTTCTTTGGAGAAGGGGATAGCTGAGGCAGACTGGTTGTTACTGTCTTCCAGTGGTTTTCAATTTTTGTTGTTATTTTCCTTTTCAACATGTGGTTTTCTGTTGTTTACTTTTCAGTTTTGGCTTATTAATTTTCCAATTTAAACTGTGCAGCCCGCTAAATTCAAAAGTTTGTTTGAATTGAAATTTTCCTCTCCATTTGAAACTGGTGATATAATAAATGTCTTACAAATCTCATTTTCTTGGTCTGTACTATAAGTTACAGAACCTTGTATTTTTCTGCTGGAATTTATGGCTGTAAGCTTCATGCCTGGGCCATAAATCCAAGCAGAAAAACTTGGTCCATAACTTTCATTATGGAACAAAAGGACTAGGTCAGTGAGAGATATATAAATTTAGTCACTTTGTGCTAATGAAACTCTCACAGGACTAGCTTTCTAGCATGGGAGCTGACTAAACCATGAAATACAGTCAAATGTGTATTAAACAGTCACCTGTGGGGAATGGCAGAATGACTGCTTAAAACAGGTTGACTGCCTTATACAGGTTCTTCTGATGAGGAGTAATATAAAAAACAATAAAAAAAAAAGCACCATTTTTTGCCATTATTGACCACTTAATGCACAAACACTTGCTCAAAAATACTACCAACATAAATTTTGGAAGAAAAACATTGGTGAAATTTTACTGGAAAGATTATTCTTAGTTTTAATAGAGTGGTTTCACTTTAACCCTTTAACTCCCAGAAGTGATTAAGAGGCAACTTCTCCCTACAATATCTATAGACTATCTAGCAAATAGGTATTGAGAATACTTTGATTTATCACATAGTTGTTTTTCTTGATTTAACATCAAATTCTCAGAACTAATTTAGAAGGAAATGTGTAGCAGCTAGAGAGGAGAATTAACAATCAGATCTTGGGAGTTAAAGGGTTAAGGGACTGCTCAATACTGGTGAAAGACAATGCAAACAGGCTTTTGGGACTCACTCCAAGGTGATCACTACTGTGTAACCCTTTACACCCTAACATCAGTATCCATTTTCTCCTTACTGTTCTCTATACATTTTCTATGGTACTGACAAAGAGAATTTGCTTAACAATCAAGAGCTTCTTTAGTAGGTGATCATTTCCTTTATTCTCATGACCTCAATGTTTGTTTTAGGGGCAATACTGATAGGAGAAAATAGTTACTAATCACTCCTAGGGGTTAAAGAGTCAATAGAAGTGAAAATTACAGTGATTATGGGGAAGTAAATACTGGACCGCTTAATACATGGTGACTGCTTTATATGGTGCCATTTAATAAAGGTTCACTAACATCTTGTACTAATTCTGCTGGATTTGATTGTTCCTTTCTAGTTACAAGTGTGGGACACTGCTGGCCAGGAAAGATTCAGAACAATTACTCAAAGTTACTACAGAAGTGCTAATGCTGTAGTAATAACTTACGACATTACCAAAAAAGATACTTTCAAGAATGTTGTGCGATGGACAGAAGATGTGAAAAAATACGCTCCAGCTAATGTTATTAAATTACTAGTAGGAAACAAAACAGATATTGCTGAAAACCGGGAGGTCACCCTTGAAGAGGCAAGGTCCTGTGCTGCACATTATAACATGATCGACACCCTTGAAGCTTCGGCAAAGGTAATGTTGGTGATTTTGAACTTTTAAGGGTTGTCTGTATAGTAATAAGATAAATTTAATTATCTTTGATAAAGAAGCAAATTTTAAATGAAGTGCTCTTTGGACAATCCAAAAACTTATTCCCTACATGTACAACTTCAGCTTCAAAACAAAATGAAATACATTAAGGATTTTTTTTATCTATTTTTTTAGTCCTCTAGAGGATTTTGAAATTTGTATTCAGACTAATTGTTCCTTGTATACTGACTTGCAGGATGCAACAAATATTGAAAATGCGTTCATGCGGGTTGCAAGAGAATTGAAAAGTCGTTACGAAAATGGCTCTCAACTTCAAGCAAACATCATGGATGATGCTGTGATTTTAGAATCAAGAAGTGTAGACTCAAAGTGGTGTGGTTGTGGTTGAACAATCTGTTGTCCTGTTAAAGAGTTTTGAGCTAGAGAAGTTAGATATTAAACAGTTGAGTGTTTGGTGTAGAGTGTCAAAACTGCAGCTGTTACACTAAAGCATTGACCTCATTCAGACTTAAACAGATATCTCTGAAATCAGATGTTTTGAAAATAATGGTGTACACATAGCATATTTCAATTGCTTTTATCATTTCAGTGGTAGACTATGAGCAGCCCCAGCTTTCCAGTGAAGTCTACTGCACAAGTAAAAAAAGTCAGTTAAAAAGAATTGATGTTAGTTTGCCCCACTTAACTCATGGAGCAAGGTGCCCAAAAAAATTTTTTTTTGGTATTTTAAGCAAGGCACCCAAAAACTATCCACTTCAGACTCTAAGACCTTCATCCTGTACTCCCTAGGCTCTTTATGGTGCACTTAAATCAGTTTTTTTTTTCACTGACTTTTTTTGTGACAGACTTTGCTGAAAAGGAGGAAGTGCTTATAAACTAGTCCGATGGTATCTACCAATGACATTGTGTAAAAATTATATTTATAAGTTAGTAGAAATATTTCCAATTGAACTTTTCTTGATCTAAGCAAGATCAAACTTTTGTTTGTTTGCTTAGTTCAAATTGTGTCTTACCTATGTTTGTTTGTTTTGTATTATTGGTATTTTACATTTGTGGTGATTGGTGATGAATCTGCTTTGGGTTTTTGTCAGTAAATGTAATTAAGAATGTTATTCTCATTTTTCATTCTTGGGCTCTAAATGTTTTCCTTTGGTTTGCCAAATGATTTGAACTGTATAGTAAAGTTGTCTGTCGAAAGTGTACCAGTATTTGAAAGGGGAAAAACATGTTATTAACGTGTTTATAATTACAAGTTTTTTGCTAATTTCCACCTTTCATTTGGATTGGTTCTACTTCTCTAAAAGTGATCTTTTAGAGAGAGATGTCAAAATGACATTTTGTCTCTGACCCTGATAAATTTTAGATGTGAAACAAAAATATTATTTAATACCCTTCTTTGCCATGTTTCTGCTTAACAGTATATTACAAGAAACCTTAAAATTGGGTGACACTTGTGGCTAGCTATTGGTGTGATAAATTTTTGTTCTTACTGAATTTGATGTCATCAGTAATTTATTGCAGTTGTGGTTGGACATCTTCATGAAATGTATTTTTATTTTATTTATTATTCCACATGGAATTCTACATTGTAAAATTATTCTGTGATTACCTCTTCATACTGTATAATCAACAGTCAGGAACTTGTTACTTTAATGACAAATTTGCCTATTACAAGCTTAACTTAAGGTTCCAGTTTTCTGCTATTTTGCCAACAAAACAGGACAAATCATTTCTTTAATGTCTGGGTGTGCAAAATTAATTTTTTGGTTCAGTCACTAGAGCAAAAAATCAGGCAAAAATTTGAAGTCTCCAGATAAACGCAATAACTAATTGTACAATACATGATTATAGAAACTATTTTCATAAATTAATCTAGTACTACAAGTTGGGAGCACTTGTGGAAATGTCTGGGACATTTCATTCTAAAGACATGGTAAACTATCATTAGGTTATTAAAGTGGAAAAACTTTGTCAATTTTACTAAATGTTAAACTATAACTTCATAGACCTACTAAAAGATACAAACTGCCTGATACAACTTGTTTGTCTTTGATATGCATTATACCAGCTTGCATTCCATTGATACTCTTGATAACTTCCAGTATTATGTGAAAATTGATCCAAAGTATTTGTGGCAAAATCTGTTTGTCTTTGGGTGTCAGTAGTGAATGGTGGTTTGTGATAATAGTTGCCAGGCAACAGTTGGTGTGGATCATAATTATTACAATAAATAGAATTGTAAAAATGATCAGCACCTTGAAAACATTCATCACAAAAATCATTTTGACATTGACTGTAATCTGAAGGTCCCCAAAATGAATTTTCTTGAAAATCTAACTGGTCATTTGCAGTGGGATTCTGCAGTTCAGCAGACTGTCCACAGTAATGAGAAAAGCAGCTATTAGCTACATCTTTTGGCTGCCTTTGATAGCATGTTTCAAGAACAGTGTTGTAATTCTGTGATCCTGCATGCACCAAAGTAGTCTTGCAATGCCAGTTGTAATCTTCACTGGAATCAATTCCATCCTCAATTATATCATCAACTAACAATTTACTTGGTCCAGGAATGCCATCAAAGACATAGTCTTCTTGAGAATGACCAGAAAAATGTTCAAGGTATCTTTCAAAGTCTTTTTCAAATTCATCCACTGAAGGCATAGAACTCACTAAATTCAATCCATGTTCTTCCTCAGAGGCATCAAATTCCAGATTATTAGAACTTCCTCCACTTTCACTACAACTGTCAGATATATTCTCATCTGAACTTTGCGTTACTATAGAATTTTCTTCGTCTTCTTCTTGGTCTACATTTTCGTCTTTGTCTTCTGATGACCCCTCTATTGAACTCTGACTGACAATTCCATCTTTGTTTCCTTGTAGGCTGCAGTAAAGATCACTTTCATGGTTGGCCTTATTTAATGTGTCTTTCATATTGTTGACAAGTTCTAACTGCAGATGCAAACTATGGTCTTTGCCAACTTCTAATTTACCTGAAGTGTCTGCAACAACAGACGGTCTTTCTTCAGATGGGTTAAATTGAGTTGATTGCTGGAGATCAGTTTTTATTTCTGAAACATTCTCCTTCAAATCATTGAATGAGACTTCAACCATCTCTGGGAAATTCACCTCCCCAATGGCATCAGTCTCATTCACTTGGAGCTCACTTGAAATGCATTGAGTCTGAATACTTTGAGGATTTTTCCCACTAATGTTCTTCTTGGTGCAGTTTTGACCCAGAAACAAAGAGTTCTGAAACCTTTCTTGAATGTAATCCAATGCCTCCTCTGTTTCACTGTCCTTTGATAAAACAATGTCATTGTCTGTCTGAAACTTTTCCATTGTTTGCCCATCTGATTTGCTCTCAAAATCAACTCTCAGAGATGTCTTTTCAACCATGCTCTCTGCAGACAAACTCTCTTGATCTTCCACAGGAACTTTTTCATCAACATCATCCAAGACCTTTTCATTACTTGGTGCACAGACTTCATTTTGACTTACAGGTGGACTCTCTTGATTCTCCACTACTTCAGATTGCACGAAATCACTTTTCAATATATCAACTTCAATAGATGCTGCTTGGGGAAGTGTTGTTGAAGGATCTAATTCAGTGTTTCCATTGAATGCACTGCTAATGGATGGAGGAATGATGTCTAAAAAAGATGCACCACATGTCAGCAACATCCACCTGATACGTATTTTAAGCATTCTTAAGTTAAACCCTTTACTCCCTAACATCAGTGTGTAAGCTCTCTCGACTGTTCTCCATACATTTGCTATGGTAATTACAAGGAGAATTTGTGTAATAATCAAAGGCTTCTTTAAATTTTTTCATTTTCTAGATGCTCATCATTCTTGGAGATTGCTGGGTAAAGTGACATGAACGCTATTTTGATGAACTCCTGCAAAGTACCCTCCATTTTCTAGTTCTACACAAGCATCTAGAGATTTTGGGCTCATATTTATTTCTACTGCAACAAGCTCGGTTAAAGTATACAGCCTGCATCAATTGGAGGTTGTTGTAAGTTGTTCTTGTTGTTTTTTCTCTCTTGAGAGTGGAAAAACAGGGTGCTTGATAATTCGACAGAACCATGACACCATGCACTATTTTTTCTTCTTTTTAAAAGCAACAAGACAACACATAGTAGTAATGGAAATAGATTTTTCACCTGGCAAAGCTTCAGTTTTGGTACCAATATTCTCTTCTATTCTCTTGAACAACTTTTCCTCATCCCCCCTGGCTACAAAGGTCACAGCAATACCATGTGTACCTGTACAAAGTGGCAGATAAAAGCCAATTGTTTATTACAAGGCAACTGGGTTGGCCAACTAGTCAGGACAGGGAACCTGTGAATGTTTTAATACCTTGGTTGTCCTTACAAAAAGATGTCTGACTTACCAAATCTGCCAGCTCGTCCAATTCGGTGGAGATATGTCTCAGAATCACGTGGGACATCCATGTTCACCACAACATTGACATTCTCACAATCTATTCCGCGAGAAGTCTTGAGAAAAAATTTAAAAGTCATTAGCAAAACAAAGGATCTGATTAACATTCTCATACAGATCATTTCCTTAGGCTTAACCCTTTAACTCTCAAGATCTGATTGTTAATTCTCCCCTCTTGCTACTACACACTACCTTGTTAATTAGTTATGAGAATTTGGTGATGGATCAAGATAACATCTTCTGCCTGATTAGTTTGTGTATTCTCATTACCTGTTTGTTAGATAATATGTAGATATTTTAGAGAGAAGTTTCATGTTAATCACTTGGGAGTTAAAGGGTAAATTAAAATCGTAAGCTCAACAATATTCTGTCATAAAATATTTGAATTCATTTCAATTTAACAATAAGATAAAAGTTTTACATTGAACTTCAAACTAAGACTAATGAAAAAGGATCATAAAATGTAACTGACCAGGTCAGTTGAAATAAGCACTCTGCATTTAAACTGTTTTAGCCTCTCCATGGCTTTCAATCGCTGTATCTGGGTTTGACTTCCTGAAAGTTGAAGAAATCAATAACTTATCTGGAATATTTTATATCAAAGACACAAAGATACTGTTAGCTGCCAGAACCTCATAATTTTGATTTTTTGTGGAGCCAATTTTATGCTGTTATTGATATAATTTCTGCACAAAAGCATAAAAAGCTAAGAGGGGGTAGAGGGAATTGTTTCCCAAATTTGTGTTTGAACAAAAGGCTTGAGCACTGCGACCCAATATTAAAAACTTTGAGTTCTTTGGGAGGACAATAAATGCTGCATTTTTTTTCAACATATACATTTCATGTAAACGTTAGACTTTTTGACAGTGAAGCTTAATTATCTTTTATCCAAAAATTGCCCAAATTAAACTAAATGAAAGATCAGACAAATCATTTGGTAAATGCTACACCTTTAGCAAAATCCTCCATGGCTAAACAAACCTGCAATAAAGACAGAGGGCCATCCATTTTGACGAAGAGTATCACAGAGGCTTTGAGCTCTAAAAGGCCAGTTAAAGAAGCAAAAGAACCCAATTATGATGATTATTACAATTTCAAAAATTATTTCATGTGTGCACATTGCATGTGAGATGACAAATAGCCAACAAGGCCTGTAAGGACCAAGTTGGCTATTATCATCTCATGTCCAACAAGCACAAGGGGAATAATTGTTTGGTGAGAAATGCCTAAAAAAAGATAAATAAATGTCAACTTTTGTTTGTTATAACAAACAGAATGCAACAATGTACAAAAACACTTTGTATAGCATGGTATAATGGTTTATAACTCATGATGGTCAGGCCAATGAAAACTCTTGAATTGCATTATCTAATGATCTAGTTTTAGACAAAAGTGATTGTTTAAAATTTACAAGAGTGGAAAAATATATATATATTATATACTAGTAATGCTGCTCCTTTAAAAGACATACCTTATCTGGTAGTTTGAAAAGACAAGACATTGTTGAAATGGTAGGCTTGAAAGTAGCTTTAAAAGCCTAGTGACCTACAGCAATAAACAATATGCATAGTGATTCAATGTTAGTCAGGAAATTAATAATACCAATCAAATTAAAACTGCATTGCCAATGATAGTTAAATACCTGAGATATCTAATAAGAGACTTGCACAGGAGGTCAGTCAGCTACTTGTCGAGAGTAGATACCTTTCATATGGCCCCTAATCTCTACAATCTAGCTAAGAAGTTAAGCTGACTTTCTTTGGTTGTCATTATTTGTTCATTAATCTGGGCTACATGCAGCACCAAGTAACCTATGTTATAAATCGCACAGTACTAAGTACAGTTACTGTATGTATACAATTACAGGACATAGTAGAGTATTTAACATCTACTTTGAATTTTCTATTTCTTTCCTCTTCTTACTTGAGCCGATTGCTAACTTTAAAGTAATATTTATATATATATCAAAGATGTACCTTTTCTTGAAATGTTTTGTGTGGCAGTGGATGAAAGGGCACCATCTGATAAAACTGTTGGATTCCTGAAGATAAAATATTCACATACTATCTTGAATGCATAAGAAGGTTTTATATAACTAAAAAGGACACCTTTGAGTTATCTTTGCTATCATTGATTACAAATAAGTCTACCTCTCTTGCAGACCCTTCTAACCAAAAAAATATATTTTTAAGGTTGCCTTGATGAGTTTTTTTTTATCATTCCTAAAAAGATTTCAAATTTCACAGTACCCTGAATAGCGTACAAGCTCCAACCTTGTACAAATGTAAGTTTATTTGTAGAGCAACATTAACCCTATAACCCCTAAAGATGACTAGCATCTAATTTCTCCTCACAATATCACCCCAAAATCACACATTAAGGTCATGAGAATAAAGGAAATGATCATCAAATAAAGAATCTCTTGATTGTTAAACAAATTCTCCTTGTCAGCATCTTAGGAAATGTATAGAGAACAGTATGGAGAATATTAATGCTGATGTTAGGGTGTAAAGGAGTGAGTGAAAAGAAATTTCTCCTTACATTATCAGTGCATTTTTAAGCAGAAAGGTAATAAAAAGAAAGATTTACTGCCAAACTGTCTCAGAAAAAAAAACAAAAAAGGGTTTATACATGCCTGGTGAGCTTCACATTAGCAAAAGTGCTTACCCTGAAGGGTGGGATCACTTGCATTAAGTCGCACAAACGTTGGTTCCCTCATGTATCTTGTCAGGTGTTTAGCAAGGTATTCTGGGTAGGTTGCAGAAAATGCCATCATTTGCTTGTTTGATGGCAAAGACGAAAATACCCAGCTGCAAGAGATTGCCATATGTTCTTATTAACAAATCCTCTCACAGGCCTTAGTATTTTGCATGAAGCTTTAAACTAACCAAGTTTGATGTTGAGCCCAATGGCTCACCTGGCTAAAGCTTATCCCAGTTTTCTTAGCATGAAGCAAATAGAGATATTACTGCCCCCTCCCAACCTGGATGGGATGCTAATCTATCATAAGGTTACACCCCCCCCCTCCCCCTTACATTTCATCAAGCTCCCCTGACAATCCACCAGTACTCATTTATACTTCTGGGTGGAAAGAGGCATGATGACAGTACTGTGCTGCCTAAAAACACTACAGATCCCAAACCCAGACCTCTTGATCCAGAGTCCAGTACACTGACCATTAGGCCACAGCATCTCCCACAGGCTTACCCCTTTAAGCCCTACAAGTGACTAGCATCAAATTTCTCCCAACAATATCACCCCTGAATCAAACATTAGGGTCATGAGAATAAAGGAAATGATCACCAATGAAAGAAGCTTTTGATTGGCAAACAAATTCTCCTTGTAAGCACCTTAGGAAATGTATAAAGAGCAGTATGGAGAATATGCATACTGATTTTAGGGTGTAAAGGGTTAAACTAAATATTATACAAATAATATATACAAACAATTTTTTCTGAGACATCTGTTTGGAAAGAAAAAATATGAGTCACTTCTAAAATTTAGGCCAAAATGTACAATTCTACAACACAGTTAAATGGAATTTAGTTACCATACACTCACTTGATTTGCTCCTGAAAATTGTCCTCCAGAAGTTTGTCTGCCTCATCAAGAATAAAGAGTCGTACAGACTCGGTCTTGAGAAGATGGTTTTCGATCAGGTATTTAACTCTCCCTAAAGACACAACAAATTAAATTGTCAGTTACCCAAATTGTCATCTTTTCTCCTTGAAAGGTTAATCTGCTGAGAACAATCACTAACCAGGTGTACCAACAGCAATATGGCATGATTTGCGAAGAGCTTTCTTGTCCTCATCAACTGGCAGTCCACCAATGAACACATGGCAAACTAAGTTCTTCATCTCGGAACCAATAGCAGTGATGACATCCTTGATCTGCACAGCAATCTCTCTTGTTGGGGCCAAGATTAGCACCTGCAATTACATGATTGCCTGATTACAGGATTGCATTGAAACAGAATCATTTTGCAGGTTTATGTAGAGATGTGTAGCATTGATTGGTCAAATTTCTCCTTGGTGTAGAATATTTCACTACAATTTTCTCTATCACCCTTTGTTTTAGGTTGAGGTTATTGCTAGTAATAAACATGAGACAGCAAAACACAAAATCAACTGGTTTGAGGAGTTTTAAACCAAGGGGAAATTTGATTCTAACATAGACTCCCACGTTAGAAACTCAATTTCTAATGAAATACATTTCAGTTGACCTGCGTATTGAAAATTAAGTAGAGTAATGATTCTTGCAGGTGAGCAGCAAGTTTAGACATAATTTTTCCAGGTTCTTTTTCTGCAATTGCTAAAAATTTCAGCTCAGCTGCAAAGATCATTACTTCACTTGAATCCTAGAACTGTAAGAGACATGTTTACAGTGAGATAAATGTTTTTGCAGTTTGGTAACACCATTTTTGTGTCTGTCTATTTAAAGTTTACAATTTAAAGAAATATAGCTTGAAAAAATAATTTGTTGCATGTTTTACCTGGGTTTTGCTGCTGTCAAGCTGAACACTTTCCAAGGCAATGACACTAAACACACAGGTCTTACCAGTTCCTGACTTGGCTTGAGCTATCAAATCTACAAAACAAGATATCAAACAATCTCAAAAGGAATTGAATTCTATTTTTTAACTATTAAACTTGGGACTTGCACTCAAATAATCTATATTTTTTTTGTTTCTACAACATGATCTTCCACCATTCCGTCAAACTGAACGTATTTTTTTCGACTTATAGCCAGTGTTGTCAGATTTTCAACGGGAGAAAGACTGACCCTAGTCGATCTTGAAGCGAACCAAAGGCTGGTGCCGCATGCAGGCTGGCAAGCTGGGTTAGTGTAAATTGGATATGTTTAGGATTCTTTGCGGTGATTGATCCTGGGCTACAATTCAGCCAAGACTCGTGTAAAGAGGCCCTTAGGGTTCCAATGTTAGCCTAACCACTGTACACTTACAGTTTTCGAATTTAGCACAACCACAGCAATACATACCCAAGCCACATCTTCCTAATGGAATGGCTTTTAACTGTATCGGAGAGGGTCGTTCGAATCCAGAGGAACTCAGTCCCTTCAAGACATCAGGAGAAAGAAGAAGAGACTTGAAATCCACTTGTTCATCGGCCAAGACATCACCAGTTCGGTGCCTCTCGCTGAACTTATGTGCCGTGCGAATTCGCGGCATCTTTAAAACACGCTTTATCAGTCAATACCAAGATCAGAAATCGGCTTAAGACTTTCAAAGGGCTCCGTTGATCATAAAAATTTCAAAGCATTACGGGTTCTAGCTATAGATTAAACATTCCGCTTTTCACGCGAAACTTAGAAGACGACAGTAGACGTCTTATGCTTGCCGCCATGTTTAAATTTACTCGGTAAAAATCTGGGAACGAATGAAATAAAACTCGCCTCCAGTCTGCCTCGAAACGCGACTGATTCACCTGTCCTCGGACGAATATTTAACGACAATTGGTGGAAGAATTTAGTGCTATTCGCAATAACCGCCACACAGCTTCACTTTAGGGCGCCACCCACGCCTTGAGATCTCACGCTAAGAACACCTACCGTCCAAATTTTGGCAAAAAAAAAAAATTAAGATATTTCACAAAACAAGAAAAAAATTGCAATTTTATAATCTTCACAGACACATTTCTTACAGAAAAGAAGTGAAAATATAAAAAATGCTTAGGCTAGAGGCTCAAGAGGAGGAAGCTCTTTTCAAAATGATCAAGCACTAACCGAGACCTTTTATTTTAAAACGGGAAGCATTCATTTACGGAGAGGCTACGTTAGAACTCTTCGAAACTTCTTCGGAAATTTTTGAATATCCTCGGAAACCCTCGATCCTCTTCGGATATGATCGGTCTCGTAAAGGAAACCTCATGCCTTTGACTTTAAGAAAGTTGCCAGGCGTGAAATTGCTTGAGCTTCAATTTTTTTCCTCTTGGAGCCAGGCCAAATACAATGATGCCTATTCGCATTGTTGTGAGCGCCTGTATCACTGTTACTGAGTAAACTTAATATCACGGAGTCAGCTACACCAATTAATTTTTCATTATCAAGGTCAGATTCCTGGCGAAATCATTTCTTCATCAATAAGAAACTCGAGAACAAATCTGGTGGAATGAAGCCCTTTAAGACACTCTGAGGGTTCGTTCATGGTTCATCCTTCCACCTGCAGAATGTTCGCTCATTATTTCATAAATACCTCTCTGTACAAACACCAGATTGTTGCCAAATCTTTCAATAAGAAAGCTGTCACACTTGGCAAAATAACGCGTTGTACTGCGCAAACAAAGGAGGCACACAAAACTGAGGATTGTATTTATTTATTTTGCGGAAATATGGGTCGATCATTAATAGATGTAATTTTTCTCTTGGCAACCGCATGAAACAAATCAAGGCAAATTTGTTACGCTGTCAAGGTCAGCAGTATTATAAAAACTTCTTCGTAGCTTCCAGTTGCTCTGAGAAGGAATTTAAAAGCTAAATGAAGACTTTGTTATCCTGAGGTAACTGATAAAAGTTGCAATTCTCATAGTTTTATTAGTAAGGATAGGATATGACATCCTAGTATCCTAAGTTACAATAAGTTGGAAGATTTTTGGAATTGAATTGTTTTCGAGTGTAGATACCCTAATTGCTTCTAGTCTAATGTGTGATTGGAGCAGCACTGAGCTTCCACTTTTTAACTTAAGTCAATATTTATTGAGAGCAAATTATCTACTCGTAGGTGATAACACGCTTACCAAATCGATGAACTTCACACGAATTCTTAGGCTCTCTCGATCATAAATATGCAAAAGAGCACGGCGAATTTCCCTATCGCTAAACACTCGAAATATTTTTTTTCCCATTTGAGATATTTTCAGTGCCGTCTATAATGCTTTGATATTTCCGATTAGTCAGTAACTTTTATATCTCTTAATTTATTTTGATAATAATTTTGCCCAACGGTTGTTGGATCAATACTGGAAAATACTATGTCAGTCTCCACGCATCAAAGAGAGGCTGTACCGAATTCATATACCGAAATCAATTCATTGAAACAGCACGATTTGCATTGACAAAGCCCCAAGAAAAATATTTCAGAAAGCTGGGTTATTGAATATAGCTTTGTTTGAAGACAAAAGAGGACGCAAATATCCATAAAATCTTTTTACAAGTAGTATTTATTCTTATCGGAGGAGTTTGATCTACACTTTAAAAAAATATGATTAAAGAAAACTGGAGAAACTGAATTTCCATCAATGTGAATAGATTAGAACATTGAATTTGAAACTTTCTGGGTCAGTCGTTCCTGGGACATATTATGTTTATATAGGGGTAGATCTTAACTTGTCAAAACATCTATCAACCCACATATATTTTCCTCGTGGGGTGCTATTGAGATTGAAGTAAGAACGGTGTGAGGCTACAATTTCTGTTAGAAACCGTCAACTATGAATTATACTTCCGGATATGCCTTAAAGGTTTGGAACTTTCAACGAGTAAGACATCTGAAAAGGCTGTTTATTTAGTCTTCGTTAAGATGTTTATATTCGAGCCCCTCTAATTTATTATTTATTCATAGCTTTTGGTTCGCTATACAAGGGAAATTTCACAGAGTATCCATTTCTTTGTATAAACTGTTGGAAATCTATTACTGATGGTAAACTCATGAAATTCTTTCCAGACGGTGTCTTTTCAGAATTCGTTGGATATGGTCAGTTCGTCGCTTCCCAGCTCGAAGGTAGGTCCAGCATCTTACCGGTAAAATATCACCTATAGATTAAACAGAGCTAAAATTATGCGTTTTAAGAATAAGGATTTATTTTGAAAATTTTTTATTACAATTCGTCTCTGGTTCGAAAAAAATGAGTTGAGTTATCATGACTATTTATTACGACAAATTTTCCAGCTTTCCTTAAAGTTCTTTAGATGGGAAAATATGATTAATTTTGTCTTATTTTCCTCAATTGTTCTAAATAATATGTATTAGTGGCTAGATCCCTAAAGTTTTGGTTTCATTTGACAAAAATAAGAGTAAATGTTTTGTTTTATCATACTGAAGACGCTCACTGGAAAAACTTTTATCCTTCTTTTTCTGACGCTTAAACGCGGCTTGCCGATTCAGAATTTACATCAAAATTTCGGCCATTGTATCGATAAACAAAGATATAACCGCTTAATCCACTGATATATATATTCCAAAGTTGCAGACGGTGTTTCTTTTTTTTCGCCGAGCCAGACTAATTAAAGAGGTAAATCCAAGCTTTTACAGAACTGAACATTCTTCTGCCAAATTGTGATCGCTTTCCGATGGCGGTTTCAAGTCTCCAAAATCATGCACAATAGATTTAAAACCGAGATGATAACAAAGAGATTGTATTTTTGTGACTACCTGTGTACCTGATCGCAATAACCACTTTATTACCGCGACCGCGATACGCCTCTATCGTCCGTCTTTCACTTGCTTAACTACCACAAGTACCGCCCGTGTACCGTTTAAAACAGCTCTGACACCTTCTTTCATCTGAGTTAACAAAATAGAGTTTTCTTTCGTTTTGCAGGCGAGTCTGTGAGCTAGATTTACATAACAAAACAACTTACAACCGATTTAATTTTGAAAATATATCATGTCGCCTAACTTGATTTGCATATCGTAACAGGGTATGATCCAAAGAACGAAAATCTCGGAGTGGCTCGTGCAAAACTTCTCGGATTCCAAAGGAAAAACACCGCGACTTCTCTACGTAATGCAAGAGGTTTAGGGTTCGTAAATCGATTTTTTTTTAACCGGATGGGGCCGAGAAGAAAAATTCGGGGAAGGTGTTTACCGGCATCTCATGGAATATAAGAGTACGGGAGGTTAATTTTGCTTTTATGTCCTTAGAGAAATCGCTTCTCATTTTTCCTGACAGTATCACCAGTGAATCAAACATTGAAAAGTTATGAGAACAAAAAAGATCGAAAATAAAAGAAGGTTTTGAACGTGCAACAAATTCTCTCTTACAGTATGGTAGTAAATGCAAATCTAAAGGGCTCATCTCCAGGTTTTCAAGACGGATGAGGGCCTTTTTAGAGAAAGGGACCTGATAGAAAAGAGGGCTAATTAAAATGTTTGTAGTATGCTATAAGAGAGTTTTATCGTCAGTCCAGAATCGAAGGGGGCTATGTCAGGCAACCCAGGATTTCTCCCTTCGTGCGTCCTTGGATTGGTGGGCCTATGAAGTGTGCGCTTCGCGTTCCATATAAGGACTGAACTTTGCACAAAAACGTGACTGCCCATATGAGGAGCACCAACGTGGCGGTCATAAAGTAACGCAAACTTTTGTTGTCATGTTTCGCCAGTAAAGTAATTAGTCATCCATTGCGAACATTCATCTGAACATATTTCCTAATGTTTCTGATGCTCAGATAAAATCACCTTTTACATGCTTATCAGCTTTCTATGTCGAGCGACGATAACTTACGAAATTATAAATAGCTCTATATTAAAAAATAACCCCACAAGGCTGAAACCCTTTCAAAAGCTCTTTAAATATTTAGGAGGTCTTTCATCTTTCGGAGGCAGAACTGCAATAGTCCTCGCTATTTTTGATTTTTGATTTTTATGAAGTCACATGAAAGCAAAGGATAAGAATGGAAAAGAGTTGACATACATTCAAAATTCCAAAATTAAATTCGAACAGTAAAATGTACGTGATTTATATTTTCAACCAAAGATGTGAATGCCGTAACGTAGTGAGGTTCCTTTGTTTATTATCATCTTCTAGATGCCTATAACTTTGATTGTCTACAGCTTTTAAAGAATTCAAGAAGAAATTTTTGTCAATCATTATTGTGCATACAGTTAGCGGGCACAAAAACTTGTGAGAAAATATTCCACAGGAAACTACAAGTTCCGCCCGCGCAACCCCAAAATCAAATTTCTGCTGAAGCCTACTGTTATCGAGGTGTATCTATCCAGAATGATGAATTGAAATCGAGAAATGGCGATCAAAAAGTTTGAACAGTTAGTTTTCCTCTCAAATGGCAAACTGTACTTAGAAGCATTTCAGACAGAGCTGAAAGACATGACCAAGGTTGTAACGAACTTCCCGGGATAACGCCGGGAAACCACAGTAATATGACAGCCTTTGAGCTAGCTCTGACCATGACGTGAGTAAAGATGTTTATGAGAGGACCTTTTTGCTTGAGATGGTCCTGTAACAAGACATGCGCAGTTGTTTCCAGCGAGGCTTTGACCCATGCAGTGCATGAACGTTTCATAAAAAAAAGGTTTGAAACGAAGACAACCTGTCTGCATGCTTTCAAATTTGAGTAAATAAAACAAATGGAATAATTTATCACAGATAAGAAAAAAAAAATCATCTGAAGACGTTCTCGAACAAAACGTGATCCTTTGAAATGAAAGCACAGGAAAATGACTGATTTTATCGATCCTAAATCGAAGTTGACTCGTGGTACTTTCCTTCTTTCGGTTTTCGTTGCGATGTTAAAATGCTTTGGTAAAACCGTGGACATTATCCGTGTATATATTAGTTAAATTCGTTGATTTTGTGGCAGGTGCTATTTAAGTGACACGTTCAAATGGAAGATCCCTTAGGATTTGGTGAACAATTACTTGACTAGACTATGCGATAGGGGAATAGCTCGAAAATCGTTTTTCTTGAAAAAAATAGATTTCTACCCGAGACTGAAACACTATAGGTGCCATTAAAACAAACTCTAATATATTTAAAACACATTTTCAAACTCAAACAATCTGGTTTCAAAAATAAGGAAGTGTCAATCACCTATCACTGTGTAGACCGCCATTATCACTTCTAAGGGCGATAAAATTGATATTTGCCCTTTCGGTTGATAAATAGCGCTGAAAGTTCCTGTTGTAAAGACTCTTTATTTCTGTCGCGGTTTAAAGTGCCGAGTGCTTGGCAAGAGAAAGGAGAAAAAGCAGCGGCTGAAAATATACACTAAGAGGAGGTAATATACTGTGCCGATCTGTACAAAAGTCATTTACAATATTCATTATTTTAGTTCAAATATCTTGTAAGCAGCACCGTAGCTCGAGGGATCGAAGCTGATTGCGACGGGAGCCTAGAACTCGAGCGATCGATTTTACTTCTAAAAGACGCCGAAACCGAAAAATTAAATGAAATTGGCGACGTAAATTTTTGAAGTTTTACTTCGCGTTAATCAGCTGAAAAGCTGAGTCACGAGAAAAAAATTAGAATTCATATTGAATCAGCAACAGAGACTTCCCGTTGAGATTCTTTTAATTTCACGCAGATCTCACAAATGTGCATGAAAGAAAAGCGTTTTTATCTCGGGGAATAAATTAGCCAATCTATGGTCAAACATAAAAGGAGTCTTTTCAAGCTATCCCAGCGTGTTAAATGTGTTTGGACGCTACGATTCTTTTTGCATTATTAAGTCTTTAGTCCAGCTGTAGCTTATAGAATTGATTAAAACCTCAATTTCGCGCTAGATTCAAAAGGAAAATCTTTAAACGAGATTTAATACTTCTGAATAGTCCTCAAAGCCTCTAACAGATCTACAGACAATGGATAGAGACAGCCATATTTTCCTACTAGTTCTATGCGTGAGCAAAAATAAACATTTTTTCTAGCAACAAACTAAAATTAATTTCGCCTCGGGCAATTTTAAACGAAGACGGTATTAAAAGTTGTCCCCTGCCAATATTAACGTCAAGAAGAGAAAAAAAGAAGTAAAACATGTATATTTATTTTGAATGCTTATGACATCAGCTTGATCAGCTTGACAATCTTGTTCCAAAAAAAATTACTGGTCACAAAAGAACTCCAAGAGCGACTGGTACTTGGAAAGAAAGGTGTGAAAACTCCCTCTTTGAATTCATCCAAAGAAGCTTTAAAGATATTTCAACGAGTGAAGGTGGTATTATCTAAAATACTACGCAGGCCGACAGCTTTGGTCATGTCACAGGTGAATGCGACTGTTAACTCTGTATACTGAAAACGCGTTCTTATATTTTTTATAACGAGCAAGCATTACATACTTCTATTGTGAAGAAAGAAGATGCAATCGAATGATTTTTCCGGCGATGCGTTCGGTATACCGCCAGAGGTGCTGACGGGGTTAATTTTCGGAGCCATGTTAAAATTCGATACATAATTTTGAATATAATTTCGTATGCACTAGTAAAATAACCTCCATGAATCCACGCCGATTGCTGATAAACAAGAATCATCCGCTGCTTCTCCTTTTTAAGCAACCATCAATAGATCTGAAAATTAAAAAGCCATATTTTTGCCAGTGAAATTTTAATCACTGAAAAACTTTCCGTGGCTCATAGGGGAGCAAGAGCCATAAGAACTTCCCTCTCGAACCGTTGTTTATATTAATTATTTGTATTTGCGTTTTGTTTTTGAACTCCTCGTCAGCTACTTATAATGAAGTTTTCTTCAAGCTGAGGAATTCGACATTTTGTTTTTTCTTTTTTTAATCTATCGAGTTTTTCTAGCCATAAGTTTATTGTAAACAAGAATTGTCTCCAGAATACCCGACGAGTTACGGTGAGTGAAGAGATATTAATGCATTTCTTGAATGTCTCAGCGGGCTTATCGAAATAGAGCAAATTTCAGTGAATTCTTGGAATATCTTGGCGGGTATTGTTTTAAATCTGAGTTAACCAGTACTTCCATCCGTCAAAAATTGGGCTAGAAGGTAGCAAATATAATGCATAAACATTCTGTGATATTTATCGGCAGTATTATGTCAATTTTTAGTCTCTTCAACAGAAAATTTCACCATTCTCTTGAGCTATCGAGCGAACGATATAAGCCTTGGTATATGTACGTTTATCTCGTCTGATTCGTTAACTCTCGTTCGCTCGTGTAAAATGTCGTAATTCTCGCCAATTCTCGTCAATCCTAGTCAACACAACATTGTAGGTTTGGATTCCACGATATCTGAGTAAATCATCTCTTAAAAACTCAAACTACAAAATAAGAAACACAAGCGGATAAAATTTAATTACTGGCTGAAATCACATCATGATGGAAGATAAATCTTTTTCTTTTAGTTGAGTCCATGGCGTAAAATCCACCCTGTTGCTTAAACCCTTAGAACTATGAAGAAAACAAAAAGGTTATTAAAACTTAATGACACAGTCATTATTTTAAATTGCATGAAACTTTGTGTTAAAGTTATAACAGATGACCTTGAGGTCACCTTTTCAAGTTATGTAATTGTAATGTACAGCTTGTATCTAACTGAGAATTAAGGCTTTAAAAAAAAAACAAAAAACAAAACGTGTGACGGCGAAAGACAACGAAATCAAAATTCTAGAGGACTACAAAAAAAAAAAAAAGAAGAAAAATGATAATAAACAGACAAAGTGACCAACGCAGGGCTCTGAGGGACCGACACCAAAATCACGTGATTTTGTGATCAAGAGAGCACAAATGAGAGCCCGTTAAAAATGCGCCAATAGCGGCTAACCATCATGTTACGTAAATAGCTTACGACATCATTCGACCTCAATTGCAATGTAGCATTCTTAACCCTTTACAGCCTAAGATCAGCATGCATATTCTCTATATGTTTTTCTATACGTTTCCTAAGATGCTGACAAGGAGCATTTGCATAACAATCAAGAGATTCTTTAGTTGGTAATCATTTAACGTATTCTCGTGACTTTCACGTTTGACTCAGGGGTGATATTGTAAAGAGAAGTTAGATGCTGCCAAGAGAGCGTAAGATGCGGCGACAAAATACTGAGAGAGGGCTTCCCGAACTGGAAAACAACCTTCTTCCTTTTTTTTCTCTTATATTTAAGCTTTTAGCTTCAACATCAGCCTTCTGCGCATGCTTGTACTTCTCAAGCGGCTCATTCCATATTTCCTGTACATTAGCTTAGTTCAGAAAATATTTTGCTTTATTAAGATAAAAACTCCTCGAGCTTCAATAATAACTTTTTGTAATCATCTGTTTGTCAGTAAGATAACAGATCATTTGCCGCATGTTTTATCAAGGCGGTTTTCGTTTCTGATAAAATGTGCTGCTTTAATTCGTCTGCAAAAATGATAAGAATAATTGAAAAAAAAAAAACAAAAAAATAAATTTGCAAAATGACAATGAGAATAGTGATAAAAAAAAAAACCCCGAGTTGACTGAACCAATTTGCTTCCCTCTAATTTTGTTTTCTTTTCAACAATCCAACAACATTTATCCAAATAGGCATCACATGCTTTTTCACAGGTTCAAAAAGTGCAGTTGCTTTCAATGAAACACGCATTTCTAGCCTAAGCGAGACTTAACAATTTTTCAATACAAACGCCTTTGTCACTTTACCTTTGCGTAGATAAACGAACCAGTGACATGTACGGCTTTTAGGCACCAACAACCATTTACATTTGTTTTCTCAACAAAACATGATTTACATGTTTGATTGGTTTTAATGCAGTAATCAATGTGCTATCGCTCCGCTATCATCGGTGCTATCCAAGAGGCAAACTCTCTCCCCGGCGTCATCAAAATTTATTTAATAATAACAAATTTAAAGCCATTTGCTCTCTCGTAGATTACAACGCATTGTTTAAAAACAATGGGGTTCCTCGTGAAAGGAAACCGAGCTGTTCAAAATTTGTTTATATATTATTCATTTGTGTTCCTGAGATAATGATGTTGTTAGAAGACAAATTTCCATCGCTTAAAGGTTTTTAAAGTCTTTGTTGGACATGTTATGAAAACGTCGGCTTAATATCGTGTTAGTTTTTCTAACGGTGGTTATGGCGTCGATGCAAACCATGCATAATTCCTTGTTTTGCAGATGGAAGCTCAATTGTTTTTGGAAATGTGAGATGGAACATTTTGTGACCGATTTCTTTCGCATTGGCGCGATGTTTTCAAAGGTAAGGCAGCTAACAATTTTAATTTCCTATAATTTTGCAAGCATTGCTTCTTGTCATCAAAACATTATTCACTGGTTAGATAATCTTGTCAAGGCATCACTCACGCTCAGTGAATATTCAAGCGTGTGTACCCCTCGAAATTGAGTGTTACGAGAGGGTCTTCTTCATGGACATTTAGTTCAATATGGTGTATAATGTAAACACTTGCCTCGGGGCAAAACGCTATCAACAATAATTACCATTTGCTACGAAATTAATGAGCAGAGGTGGAAAGTTTATTTTTTTATGGTTTCGGAATGTGTGATTCGTGAACGGGTTGCCAAAAACGTGAAAAAAAACAACAACTTTGTTTGGAAGACATGCTGGTTTATTATTTACCCGCTGATACGAAACTTTTCCGTTTGTCGTTCTGCTGAAATTTTTCGAGAGCTCTCGCAACTGAGGGCGAAAGTATAAAGGACAAAGATGAAGTTTACCGGATCAAATACTGATCTGATGTTTTACAATACAGCAATTTGTTAGCGCTGGAGTAAGCCATCTCACAAAGTCGCTAAATCTTATTTCATTATACGCGAGATTAATTTTAAGGAAGCTGTGCCTATTGTGAATAGATGATAACGTGAAAACCACAAAAGAACGCCCCCTCGAAGATAACAGCCATTGCAGGGACTTAACGGCATGACGTTATGACAAATTGTAATGAATCAGTAACGGCTGGAAACCATTGTATGCCGTAAAATTTTTGTCCTCGTGGTGTGGATTCTCAACGCAAATGCAAACAATACTTACATCCTACACGGCTGAAGAAGTAGGCAACAGGTATCGTGACAAAACTGAATTGTGAATCGCTTTACCGAAAAATATTGTGTTTAAAGCAGGGTTTCAAGCAGTGTTTTGGTAAATGGTACAATGAGCAGCTGTGCCCGATGAAGGGGCCGTAGGCGAAATATGAATTTATATGAAAGATGAAGCTGGCTTGCAGGGTAATAAGCGGCGGTAAGAAGTCTTTTATCCAGCGGTAGACCGCCGGTATCCGGTTCTTTTCGAAATCCTTGGCTTTAAGTATATCCTGAGGCTTTTCTTAATGAAAAGAAGTTACTTACAGCTTCAACAAGCAAAATATCGTTCTATTTTAGTGAGGAGTGCGTTAGATGAAAGTCACTAATATGCTAGGGTTTTTTTTCATTACTGTTACAAATTAAAAATGAGTGTAGCAATTAAGAAGAATTGTGGCTGTGTGGCTTACAGAAAGCAGGGTTAAATTTATATGCATCCTCAAGGACAACACTGCGATTCACTAATTTATATCAATACTAACAGATGTAAGTTAAATGAAAGATACAGATAGCATTCAAATTTGACAAGCTTTGCCTCTGCATCGACGATTGGCGACTGTCTTCGGAAATTCATCCACACGCCTTCTCAGCCAATCTCGTACAAATTCCAAACTGCGCTGTTTTCCCGTCAGGAGGACGGTATCTTAAATTATGGGAGAACTCTCATAAGCTAGTTCGAATGTCATTATTATTTGCTTGGCTGGCCATTATAATTACTTAGGGAGTTTTAAAGTGATTTACTAAATGTAATAAACATCACAAGGACTTCTCTCCAGGACCAGCCGACCTATTACTCCGATGCGAACTGGAGAGAACTGCGATCACGTCGCACACAGTTTTCCCGCTCCTTAGTACATGGGGTTACCCTCGCTTGTTTTAAATCTCGCTGGTTTCTTGTTTTTGTTTACTTTTTTCTGGCTGGACTTTATGATGACTTTTGTTTGGTTTTGCGATGGCCATGACAATTTGCTAACATTATAATAACTGTTTTTGATTCGTAGGGTGATGAGCAAGACATCTAAAGCATCGTAATTGTTAATACGCCGAAATGATCAGTAACATTAGCGCTATTCAAACAAAGAAAGCTTCCTACAGAGAGAGAAAGTCGTCAACATTGTGTCGACCATCTTCTGGATATCCTTGTCTCGATAGGCTCAAAAGACGCCGCCCAGATGCCAAAGTGATTATCAATGTTGGAGGACGTAGATTTGTCACGTGGAAAAACACGCTGAAACGTTTTCCTCAAACGCTTCTGGGCTCAGAAGAGCTTGCGGCGCGTTTTTATGACCAGGATAGAAAGGAATATTTCATAGATCGCGATCCGCATTTATTTCGATATATACTAAATTATTATCGTTGTGGCAAACTCCATCGTTCGTTTGAAGATTGCAATGCATCATTTGAAGATGAACTCTCCTTTTACGGGATTATGCCACAAGAGGTGCATGACTGTTGTTTTGACGATGATAATGAAAACGATAACGCTGATGATAGCAAAAGCACAGGGTCCGGGTCGGTATGCGACAAAACCGAACATGTAGTAACTCGAAGTTTGATAGGACGAGCTCGAAATTGGATTTGGGTTTTACTGGAAGGCGAGGCGGATTCCGGCTTCAGAGCGTTTTTTGGGATGGTCATCATATACATTGTGGGACTTTTTATCATTCTTAGTATTTTTACAACTGTCTATGAAACTGTACCTTGCGAAAACGTGGAGAAGGTTTGCAAGGAAAGAACTCGAATCTTGGATCTATTGGACAATATTTGCGTGGGTGTTTTCAGCGTGGAATTCTGTCTCAGACTTCTTGTCTGTCCGAATATTGTGGAATTCGCTAAGAACCCGATGAACATCATCGATTTTTTATCGATCTTGCCTTTTTATTTAACGCTGCTATTAGAGTCTGTGGTAGGATCAAACTTAGAAGCTTTTGTAGTTCTTCGAGTTTTGAGAATATTTAGAGTTTTCAAGTTAACAAGACATTCCAAACGTCTGCAAAGATTTGGCGCAGCTATGGCCAGCTGTGTTGGAGATCTCACCTCGTTGATGTTTGTTTTAATTATTGCTGTCGTGGTTTTTGCAAGTATGATATACTTTATTGAGCGCGACGCTGTGGAAGGAAAGTTCATTAGTATTCCTGACAGTATGTGGTATACCATCGTTACCATGATCACACTGGGGTGAGTTGTTCATACAGCAGACCAGCTAATACCCCATTCATACCAGCAGAATATGTTTAGTTAAACCGGGTTGAACTGAATGAAAATCAGAGACAACAAAATGCGTTAAATTTGAAGTCGGCAAACATCGCTTTGATCAGCTTTTATGATAAAAAAATTCAAAACCGTTTTTAACAAAACAACCTTAAAACATGTTTGAACTTCAGTGTGTATAAGGTATAACTTATGCTCAGCTTTAGCATATAAGTAGAATAAAAATGTATTTTGGCTATGTTGCATAAATTTGATTGCTAGTTATGACTAAATTAAGATAAGTAATTTTTGCCATAGATGTATCAGACTGAGTGTGGAAAGTAATGCAGGATTATATATGCTAAGCTAATTTATGCTCGCATTTTGATTCGTTCTCATCTATAATCTATTGGAGGACAGGCGCATATTGGAGGCATGACGTCACCCATGATTAAAAAAATTTACTTCTTTATTACATAAAACAAATAGATTCTTTGTGATCGATTACTGAACAGGCGAACGCGTACGCCAACATGGAATTTGATCGTTAAGTTATACAATAGGCTAGATTATTAACGCATTTTGATCGGTGAGCACTTATGATCTATTGGAGGGCAGACACACAGATAACATCGTCATTAAAAACGTTTTTCTTCTCTTTTATACAAAACAAATATATTCCATTTTGCTGTGTGGTTAGAGTATCAGTGACCGGCACAATCAGCTGCGCCTCGTGTGTTATTTTATAGTACTTGCCACATAAGGACATCATCTGTGATCTATTGCTAAAAAGGCGCATGGCAACATGGAATCTATTTGTCAAAAATGCATCATTTCAGTGCGCGCTGACTCCAAGATTTTTTTAATTTTTCTCTTTATTTATTTATTTATTTATTTTCGTTTTTCAGGTATGGAGACATGGTCCCGTCCACATTTTTAGGTCAGACTGTAGGAGCCATATGTTGCGTGGCTGGCGTCATACTGGTCGCTTTGCCGATACCTATAATTCAAGAGAAAGACATCTTCAAGAAACAGATGCTTAGCGTTTATAATGTGGACGATTTGCAAAAGAAAATTAAGCAAATGAGGAAAAGTGCGGACAGACCAGAGCGAGGAGATCCCTCGTGAATTTACTAACCTCGCAAACTCTAATATCGATATACGCATTCTCATTTTCTACTTCCATACTTTGCTTGTTATAATGGTTGGGAGAAGGTACTTTTTGGTCAGGGACTAAGAGAGACTGAAACCAAGAGACTGAGTCCTTTACGGGATAAAATTTCCTAGAGTGACAAGAGGAATTCTGGAGCAGTTAAATTCGTTTTGCTTTACTGTGTCCTATGATTGTTTTTAGAGAAGCTCGCGTCTCTCTCTCAATCAATGAGATGCAAAACTAATACCATAAACGTTTTGATGGCACCTGCGTTTTCCTGCGCTTCTGGCAGTTTAATATTGTTTTTGGGGCTTTTACTTCTCATCAGCTGCTTGCAGTAATTTCCTTTTGTCTGATTGGCTGTTGAAGGCGGTAACCTTCATTTTGTCTTCATAATAACACTGAAGTGAAACCCGGCTTGTTGGTTTTACTCCGGAAATTATCCCTATCATTTAACCTTAGAAAAATAAAACAATGTTATATTGCCCTTGTTATACTAAAAAAATTTCATTCCTAATTCCTCTTCAAACTTTGACCCCTGAGAGTGACGAGCTTATAACATCTCTACACAGTATCACCCCTGAAACTCACAGTAATGTCACCAAAAAATGATTGTAAATTCAATAGATGAAGGATATTAAGGCGCTCAACTTTTTTGAAATTATTGTCATTTGAATTAATGAATACTTTTGCTACGGATTCAGAGCATTTGCGACGTGCAAAAGTTATTTAACTCTGTTGGTATGTAAACGTCAAAGGGGTAAGAATAAGCTGAAAGGAAGCAAGGATGGATTGGAACGGATGTGTGATAGACTGGGAATTAGTTCTGCAAACCCCCCCATAAGCCCGTTCGGTCAAATAATAAAAAAACACATTGTCAGGTTTAGGCTGTGGTCTGCGTTTGTCAAGATCCTTTTCTTTTTGGCTTTGTTTTGAAAGACTTCAAGGCAAATCAAGAACGAGAGGTAAAATTGTACATGAAAAACTACAAGTGATGTTTAAAAAATTACTCGAGCCCTTTACAGAGCACTGCACATTGGCACATACACGAGCTTAATTTCTAGATATACTGAGACGGGTGAGGAGGATGTTTGTCATTTCAATTTTATGTAACAGTTTTATACCTCGTTGGTGGGTATAATACAAAATGATGGTCAAAGGATCAGTTGAAATTATATGAGAAAGTCGGCAGCCTGATCATACAGTAACATTCAATGAGTTGATTTTATTTTGGTTCATTCTCTCTAAGTTTAGCATCACATAAAGGACTCGGTTTAGGAAGTTGAAATTCAGTTTAGCGACTAGCAGGTAAAAAAGTTTACGATAGCAACAACAACTCATTATATTTGTGCCCTTTAGATTTTACAAATGATTGAGAAAAATTGAGATAGAATGGTAAAACACCAAAACAGTACTGTTGAAAATGAATAGTTTCTTCTCCTCAAAATTACCTTGGTAATGATCACGATCAAAATGGAGATCGATAGTAAAATGTTTTTGGAAATCAAGAAACATGCGACAAAAATAAAACTTACGTTCGTCACGGCCACTAGAGTGTAGAAAGCGATTGTGAGTATTTTTTAAGAATAATTTAGAAAATGGAAATTTAAATATATTCATGAAAACTGGTAAAATTTTAAAGGTTAACCAGTTATTTTTATCAGCAACGAAGCGACGTTAATTGAACTCACAAATATGTTTGTGGCAACAGCAACAATCTAGGTGTAAAGACGCGATGTGTTAAATAGCCAACACTCATTCTTAGTGTGAACAAATTATAACTGCAATTCTTTCTATTGTCATATTTTATTACTACCGCAGCTTTTTTGAAATAATTCGCTTAAATGACAGAATAAAAATGATTGATTTGGCGACTGAATTGCTAAGACATCAATAACTTGTCACTTGAAAGTTCCAGAAACACATTAAATGGAGAAAAATGACAATTTAATAAAACCGAAAAAAGGCAGGCGAGGATATTACAGCTTAAGCCTTTTCCCGTTATTCAATACCGATGCCTTCTCCTGAAATTTCCTTTAAAGAAAGTTGGAATTTCTTTGAGGAAAGGTAAGAAAAAGCTTTTACCAGCTTTCAGAAAGGTGTGAAGAACAATATATTCCATTAAAGCGTGTATGTAATCGTTTATATTTGTTCAGCTCATCATTTCGATGCCTTCTTGTCAACAGGTTATCTATAATGGTCTCTGTTTGAGTTCAAGTTGGAGAATCGTTTTATTTTTTGACAATCAAACGAATATATTTGGATTCCATTTCTGAAGCTTCAAAGGAACATAGGCACATGGTAAGAACTTGCTTTCTTTGACTTCAGAAATTCTCTCTCATACCTGTCATGCAATATTGATGTTTTACAACTTCGCATAAACAAACGCCCCAACTAATTTCAACTCGCACATAAATTGCCACATGTTTATCTTGTTATTGCTGCAGAGTTTGCTTCTCTTGAATTGCGTGAGTTTTCAGTCTCTCTGTACTGAACCAAAAATTGTTTATCACCGGACTGCCACGAAAGAGATAATTTTTTACTGCATTTGACAAAACGATCGGATGGCGTAAATTCGTATATAACTCGTCTATCGGTTGCTTTTTTTCTTTGCGAAGGAAAAAAACGATAAGATGAAACTCGCATCATCGCAGATCAAATACAGAATTAATGAGAGAAATATTATTCATTCTTTACCATTCCAACAGGAAAATTTTGGTATATACAACACTATTTTTCCACGAAAATTAGAAAATGTGTTTTAGCGCCGTCAAACAAACGAGGAAGTCATAGCTCTCCATCAATTCTGAATTATGCTGAATATTTAGTCCATCGCTTTTTTCAAACACACTGCATATATATATATAGTACTTTTTTAATCAGGACCGAGTCAACGCCCAGTGGTCAGTGGTTCAATTTCATGGAAACGTGCAAAATATGGTTGAATCATAAAATATGATTTAGCACATTTAATTTGCGGCCCTCTAAGCATTTGATGAGCGGTTTGAGCCGGAACCAGCAGAAACCATATGTCAAATTTCATTGAAACGCCATAACAAGCTAATGTGGGTACGGGAAAAGGTGTTTGTAGCTGTGACATGTATCAGCAGACCTCTTTCCTCGAGCCTGTTAAAAAATCGCAAAAGCAACTCCATACAACAAAGTCAACTGAGAAAACTGCTGACTAAATCACGTTACAGGTCCGAGGAATACAGCGGTCGAACGTCTGTGCATATGTGGATGTTGTAATGGATAGGTAGCGTGCTCTCAGGCTTTCAGACCCAAGTTGTCTTACAAAAATTGTAAACAAACACGCAAGCCATTGAGTCACGGTGTTTTAGAAGCGTATAAATTTTTTGATAATACTCAAGACAAGACGATTTCTATTGAAGTTTCAATTTTTCTTTACATATTTTGCGTGACAGCGGTTCTAGCTCATGTTTTTCTGTCACATTTTGGGCGCGAATAGATGCGCAGCTGGCCAAATTTGATCCCCGTGCGCATGCTTAACGTTTGACCGCTGTGTAGATCAACGGCGAATTCCAGTTTATGATCGAATCTGATTTGGATAAATCTAAATGACCCAATTCGCTAGAGAACTTTAAAGGAACTAATCATGAAGTGGCAAATGTTCAGGTTTTATCTGATAGAATAAGGATCAGCAAATTCCGGTGATCCATATTTTCCGAAAAATGAAACGATCCGTATATTATATCCATATATTATATCATATATTTTATCAGTCGCACATGATAATAAACCGCGATATTTAAAAGTAACATTTTGCTGTGTTTGTCATTCGTCGCTGGAGGACTTCGCCGTCTTTCTTTGCGCTATACTTCGTCTGTATCTTAGACGGTAGCCGAATTACTAAATTGTTTCGAGGAGGCTTCAAGAACAGGTAACGTGATTTATTTATCAAAGGCTGTTTTAAAAGTTGTCCATAACTATGCGTCTCATAAATGAGTAAGGTGGATTCAGATTTATAAAACGGCCAGGGAAAGTTTGCATTTGCCTTATTGGCAGCTCTTTTATTGATTTGGGTGAAATATCCAGGCTGCGGTAACGAAATCAATAGCATGAATGGAAGATTCGACTTTTTTTTTGGTCACGTAAAATTGTGAAGCGCTTCCTTCAAAGTTACGAAGAACCTTGCTTGTTCAGCCATGAACTGTTAGAATTTCCTCCTCATTTTCAGGATCTTTTTTTTTCATCGCTGTAGGATATGGAATACTGTAATTAAGGAAGTAATTCTGCTTTTACATTCACTTTTCTTTCAAGTAGTGATCAGCTGCAATTAAACCGAGTACTTTTTAAATACAATTTGCTGCAAAAGTGCCATGAAAAGGTGAAACACAAACTCATTCATGCAAAGGTGTTAGGAAGCGTGTGGTTGTTTCAGTCTTTAATAAATAAAGAAACTCGAAATAAACACAGTTTGTGGGTATGGTTGGAAGAAAAAATGGAGCAATTTTTAATTAACTTCAATGAAAGTTTCATTTTGGTTTGCGTCCATGAATATTTTAAATACTATTCGCTTTCGAGTAGATTTCACGAAAATATATTACTATACATATTTAAATGTTTGTGGGTAATGTAGTCTAATGTAATTACTGGTACTGAAGGCAATATCTTCTCCTAGAGGGAGAAAAAACCTCAGTCTGCAGAGGTTGTTAAATTAAATATTCACATCCTGTGCTTTTACATGTGTAAATATTTACCGGTGTTCTAATACTGAATTTATGAGATATGGAAATTATTGCTCGTTAGGAGACAGTCCATCCCTGATAAGGGAGGAAAATAAGTCAATTTAAAGGTAATATCTGGCGAATAAAGTTAAGAGGGCTGATCATGTTTAACTTATCGCCTCAAATATCATAATAATGGTTTATTTTGCGGGCCATAAAAGCCACATTCATCAAATATTTATCCAGGGGAGTGTTATCACTATTCTACGTATTCATCGGCAGGCAATAACTGCGTGAAATCTACGTGCATTCTTGATTATGAATTTGAAATAATCTGTTATCTCTTCATGTGTCATGTCACAAGACAGAAGGGTGGCCGAGTGTAATCATTTCATAAATTAAAAGCTTTGAATCACGCAGGATTTTACAAAGGCAAGAGAGACAAAAATTTATGCTCGCTCATGCCCGCGGGGATGGCTTAATCGTAGTTTCCTCAATCCAAGTGTCAAATCGGTCGATAAATTACTATGCGGGTGTTTGAAGGAGTTTTTCATTTCAAGTAGAAGCGTGCTGTTCTGAAGACGAAATACGCAAAAAGAAAATTCCACTTTAAGGTACTGTTATCACTTTGTTACTTGAATTCTTTCGATTTGATTCGCTGCTACAGGGTTGAATTCGTGGTTTTCCAAGTATTTGTGGTGATTACTCGTGTAAAATGCTATTAATTTCGAAGACTACTCGAAAACATTCGTCGCACTACAGAATCTTGAACAACGGAAATTGGATTCCATTCCATATATGTTCACCGCAATCAAAATGTACATGCAATCGAATCACAATTTTAAAAACTAGAACGTTATTTTTTTTTCGAAGGGAATGACAGATGTACAAAAAAATCCTGACTTAGGTTAGCGAAAACAGTTGTGCATGGTTATCGCCATTTTTTGGAGTGCACGGCAATTTGGAGAATAATGTTTTCAGTTTTTGGATATGAAACACGATGATGACTGCTCACGGTTTAATACATGAGCAGAATTTTCATCAAGATAAGACAATTTTTCACGGACTTTGATTTTCTTTTGTTTCAAGCAACTAATCAAAGTTGAGCTGAAGCTACTTCTGAATTACGTTGGTGCCAAAATACTACATTGCAAGGTAAAAGGAGGTGAAAATCACTCCAGAGTGTAGCCCAGCGCATCATTATTGCGTGTAGTATCTAACGTGGTTAGCATGGGTATTACTAAATACAGACAGGCAATTTTAATGTACCCGTGGTTCATTTTCTGTTAAACATTCAAGGTGGCCAACCACGTGTTACTCCATATTGAGCCAGGCAACGCTTTTCTTCGCCAGGGAAATTTGTCGTCATTTTTCACTCACAAATAAGCCGACCTATCATTTGTTCCTCTGTTTTGAAGCGAGTAAAGGTCTTCTTTAGGCTCACGGAAAAAAAGATGAAATAGATAAAAGAACCGAAAAGTTTAATTAGAAAGACGAAACCGTCGACTGGTTACTGTAGATTTTACAGATCAATATTCTCAAGAATTACTCTGCAAATATGTAAAAAAGGACTACCTGCTCATAAAAAGAGGCACTATTATATTAATTTAACTTTTTTTTTTAAGGATAAAAAGCCGATTAACAATAAGAGTTTTGCAAAATTCCCTTTGCTGGACTCTTTATGTCGTGGAAGGAACGATTTAAAATGCCGGCCTTTGATCATGAGACTTAAACGCGACAAGGGAATACTAGTGGCCTCTAACCTGTCATTTCAGAGGCTGCAACCCACACAGCATGACGACGTAGTCTTTTTTCCCTTCAATTTTCCTTCCATATGATATCCTCAGGGGTACCCTTAAGCGAAAGGCGCCAACCTACTGCGCCAGATCGGAACTGCGGTCGGGGGTATTTCGGTACAGCGGCTTAATGATCACGAAATCGAATCCATTTTTTTTGCCGTTGTGAATATTTAACTGTCATACTCTGTCATAAACAAAAGTTTCTGTCATAAGGCAAAGTGGTATTTTAAAATTTAATCCAACACTCCCTATAGGTATCAAAAGATCTTGTTTAAATTCAAGAGTAAAGTCATTTGGAGAGCCTAAAGTATTTGAAATATTAGTGACCTTAATATCACTTGACAACTTCGAGGCTGAAGAAAACTGCTAGGAATAAGTGGGCGCGTTTTGCTCGCGTTTTGAACGCGTTTGGCGTGCGTGTGATAACAGTTACCCTTTTTTAAGACGATTTTTGCGAGAATTAAATCGAATTAACTTCTTTTTTCAAGTTTCTTATATGCCTTTATCAGTGATCTGAAACATAGACGTAAGGAGGGAGGAGAGTTAAACTAAACAGGAAACGCTGTCAAGAATTTCTGTCAATGAATTTCCTTTGTCTGTCTTGAGATATAGATAATACATGGAGAGGTTTACAGAGACATGACCTTCTCCAGGCTGTCAGAGATGTTTCTGGTAGGCTGATATCTGAATGTCTTAGTGGAACGATCAGAAACATTTCCTTAACCATTATGAGAAATATTGACCGCTCTGATGATTCCTCAGTTTCACCTTCGAGCTGCTTGCCAGCCTTTTCTCAACTACAGGTGTTACTTTCAGTTTTCGCTAATTTTTTTTTTTTTTTGCACTTAATTTTTTTTTGGTTTACTTTTTTTTAGGCGCTAGGGGGGATTAAGTAGACAAAAAGTAAGAGGTGTGAATACCTCAAATAGCTATTTAATGGCAAACCTTAATTTAAATCTTTATTCAATTGTCAGCGAAGGCGTTTGCTAATGAAAGTTTCCTGGAGATTATTATCGAAAAACTGACATACAGCCTTGCTTATGAAATGGCGCTTCTCAGTTAAGTAAATAGAATTTTGTAGAATTTTCTGATGGATTTGTTAATTACCCGGTGGTATCCTCCATTAAAAACATTGAAACATCCTGCGCTGAGACACATTAAAATTTTTTTTCCAAAAATCTTGTTATCTTTGTTGCGTCGAGTCCTTCGTAGTCTTAAATCATTGTCCATAGCATGATAGCGATCCTTTGTGTTATTTTTATGTGGTTTTGCCGTTGTGCAAAGCTCGCTGTCAAAGTTTCTTTTTCTTTCCTTTTATCGAAATGTTGACGAAATCTCGTCGAAAATATATTTTTCCTCTGCATAAAAGCACCAAACATAACTTAGTCGGTATCGGAACAAGCCGAACAAAGTCTCTTTCTCCATAGCTAAACCTCGAAATGTGTACTTAGATCTTCAAATCAACACCAAAAATTTTGGCGGATGTGCAGTTGTCTAACACGTTGAATACGTGCCATATGTTTCATCTGTTTAAGCAAACGGGGGAAGACCTTTAATTGCGAGGAGCATAAAAACACTTGCACATTTGAAGACCTCAAATTGCAATGAAACTAATAACAAAAATTCGTTGCAGTATGACTTTCTTATTTATCCTTAAATGAAGCATCTCCGTTTTCCGTGGTTTGCCAATGTTGGTGTCTTTTAATCTTACCACACTAAAATTTGTGGTTTCTTTCACGTTAACACCAATTTGCAGGTCGCAACGAAGGATTCAAAATATCGTGACGTGACGCTTGTAAACTGAACTTAAATGAAAAACTTGATACCGCAATATTTATACATATGTATAAATACTACGGTAAACGGCCGTTGAAACCGATTAACTTACTGTGTATCATTTCGAACCGACGAAGGCTAATGTTTCGAATTTTCAAACATCGTAAGTTCTCTTGCGCTTGCCGGACATGTTGTACGCCTGTGAATTGAAAATGGCTATTCTAATCGATGACGTACTTCAAAGCGAATAACTGGGCCTTAGGTCTTATTTGTATTACTGTTTCTTAACGTCATTTGAAAAACACTGGCCACCCGCATGACAATTAATACGCAAATATATAGTTTAGTCACGTCCTTACGAGGTCCTATATTTTACCGTTTCCTGTTGACAGGTAATAAAGCCTATACACGAAAAACAGCGAAAGTGCAGGCAAGTAAACCCTCTGGTACTTTCCATGTGTAATGTACCGCAAACTACGATCTATGCTTCCCATTTTTGAGCACTTTAAGACACCTTTTTTAAGGTAGGACTTGCCATTGTTCGAAAAAATTTATGAGAATTCAATTTCGTTATTCATCGAGTACAAAACGAGGTCCAATATTCAGAATTTTGTTATATGTTTTTATACAAATACAAATTTTTCTTTGAATACGACTATATTTTTAACAAAAATTGCGCTAGAACTTTGATCATTTCGATCTATCGTCTTAGATTTAAAATGATACTTAAGGTTTTTCTGGTTTACTGCTGTTGATTCCGGATGCTAAACTTGTAACCTCGTGTGGAATATTCCACATCTGAAGTTCATTAGAAATATGATACGTTTTTGACATGTTTATCACCATCGACAGTCTCGATGTATCATGCAAACGATCGCGAACAAGAGAAGATTTAAATGTGGCATTCAATCAGAAGCCAACTGAGTAATTTAGTAATGCAGTAATGCCCGAGAGAGATTAGTCCAAGAGTGAGAAAGAGGCGTTGTGAAAGAGCTTCGTAATAGAAGGCTTAACTTCTTTTGTCTAACAACCTGTTGTATTTTTTTATCGCTAATTCCACGATGGACCAATAGAGTCCTATATATTTGCACATTATCGGCCAAATGAGGTTGTGGAATCGCGCAGATTGAATTTCTATGAGTTCCTGTCTGACCACCTTACGCTTTCCTTCCCGCCGAGAACTGTTTATTGAGTGCTCATTGCAAGACAGAAATCTTGTAATCAAGATCGAGTTTACGAAAAAAAAAAAAAAAAAAACACTTCAACACTCTGTCAAAATTTAAATTATTCAAAACTGAATATTATGATATCGATCGCAAATGTATGTATTACAAAGTAAAAACAGCCTTTTGTCATTTGCAGCAGATGAACGTAATTGACGAATCTCCGATGAAAACGAACGAGAGTGCGTCTACGCGAAGGGTGAGTCTCTCGTTTTAAGGTTAATTCAGTTTAGAGAAGCCGTCACCGGATGACGTTCTCATTAAACTGTAATGTTTTGCATTCTACATGAAGGATTACTGTAGGTATATTTGTTATTATTTTTTGGCCCTTTAGCGTGTTTTTGAAAAAAATTTGTCGCGTCGTTTGACACACGGATCGGTTATTACGCCTTCAATTCTGTTAGAATTATATTTTAACAGGTCAAAAAATATTGCACGTTGCGATGAGTTAGCAGTTTTTTTTCGAATCCAAAGAACTTAAATGTGATCTTTTAAGCGACAAGAAAACCACAAAAAAGGTCTTGTTTTGGAAAAAAAAGCTAAGACCCTGCCTATGAATTGATAAATGTTTACTAAAACATGGAACGTTAATGGTGTTAGGGTATATTTCTTTCATAGCATTTGCACATTTAACATTAAGGAGTTTGACATTAAGCCCATCTTCGCCTTATCCCCTTCATTAACTGTAGTAAATGGGATCATTTTGTATAATTCCCCTGGTAGCTGTTGAAGAGAAATAAAAAGTTGCAAATATGATTTTTAAATTGTTTATAAGAGCAAGCGCTGATCTGAAGTCAATCCAGACGGTGCTGTTTTGGATGACTTGAAAATGCACAAATTAGTTACAGTTCGGCAGAAAAAGAGTATCATTATTGTTATTTCCTTTTTGGCGAGTTATGGTTACGTGTATCGCGAAATGCAACTGAGTAACGCGGTGCAAATTTCAGAAAAAAACGATTTCAGTTTCTTGGTTTCTCTTTCAAACACAAAATATTTCGATTACTCGTTGAATTTGAGACAGTTTGGTTAAAAGTGTACTGTTTAAAAAAGTGAAGAGAAGTTGCCCCCGTACTTTTTAAACATTTACTGCCATCTGCTTAAGCAAAGTAAACGCCATAGCTGTTTTCTTCTCTTGCAAAAAAAACATAAAACAAAAAACAAAACAAACACTGTTAAAGGAAGCAAATTTTAAAGATAAAATTGACAAGGAGTCCTCTCTTAAAACGACAGGCTACTCTGCAAATGCACCAACGATTAGCGGGCTTTTGAGCCTATTGTGTTCTTCTACAGGACGAACTTTCTTAGTTATTACAGAGGAAATGTGAGATGTTTTACGGTGTTGAGGGAAAATAATGCTTCGGAGAAGAAAAAGAAATAAAGAAATCACTTAAATAAACTGTTTCCACCAATCCATTTGGAAATTAATTGATGTCATGCTTTTCAGGTTGAGAGAAAACTTTGCAGAATGTAAAGGGAGAAATAAAAACATCAATGAAAATATGATTCAAAGGAGAAAACCCTCGAAACACAAGAAGAGACAAAAAAAGGTTGAATTCAAGGTTCGCAACGATTTGAATTTGCCCACGTTTACACGTGACAAATTATGTCACCACGATTATGAATACCAAAACAGAGGGAACTCTAAACGGATTATGCAACTTGCGCTATGTTTTCTTATCCACATTCCTTTTTAAAACTTTACGACGCTAGCTGAGAGAATCAAAGGTTGCGTTAAAATTCAAGTGATAGTAGGGATTACTGTAACACTGTAGGCCACGACGGTGAACAAAAAAAATCTTAATTGCTCTCAGTGCAAATTTATAATTCATGCAATTTTTTTTTTTCTCGTATCAAATTTTGTCGTGACGCAGGTGGGTAAAATTATTATCATTTCCCCTGAGAACTTCTCTGTCAGGAAAAGGACATGTAAACACAATATGGAATTCGTCTGCAATTTCAAGCGAGGAATAACGAATAATCCGGTCATTTTACGCGATTCAGTTCCGTTAATTAAGTTGATAAGCGGATAAAAATTTGAATACGAATTACCGGGATGATTTTGGATATGGTGATTGTCTGGTTGGATACTTTAAGCCAAGAGGCGAAAAAAGATGTACAAATGTGTTTAATTGTTCAAAATATGCAAAACAGAGAGATTTTGGTTTGTAAATTGGTCAGAGATACGTGATGTTTTTGGCTCTCTGAATTAATATGGCGCAGGCGTATTTAAGAGACAATAACGTCTCAGTTGCCACAGACGAGGTAAGAATCATGCCTTATAATCAGAACCCAAATCCACAAAAATGTACATTTTTTTTGCGGAAATTTCAATATATTTCTCAACTGGCTTGAGAACAAGGTATGTGAATTTAGAAGAGCTTTCGCTAAAGTTGTATTTAAGAAGACTTTTAGCGTTTGTTTCAAAATCATTCCTAAATCGAAATGCCTCTGACCACTAGCCCCGAATCCTTCGAATTTAGCAACTTGATGCAAATTTTCAATTTCAAGACTGGTTACACGGTTCAAATACTTGCAAAGAATAAACCGGATCAGGACTTCACCGGTTGAGCTGAATTTCGTTTGCAGAGTCGCGATGCGCGAGTATGCTTTTTTTTAACTGAGTACTGAGACGCGTCTACTCAGTGTTTTACGCAACTTCACACAATTACAGCGATTTGTAATAACGAGGATATGGTAACTGTTCGCCACTATTCTAGTCTATTCGTGTAAAACCTGATTATTATATGACATATATTTTCCTATTACAATCAAAACAAACACTTCGTATAGATTTAACGGGACGTGATATTAACGGAGATCTTGGAGTAAGATCTTGGAACAAGCTACTTCTTCAGATATTATTGCAGAAAATTTTAAAATTTTCGTGTAGATGAAACTTCTGGTTTTGGAAATCTTTCCCATAAGAAAAAAAAACTTTCGAACAATTATTTGACATATTCAAAATTTCTCTATGTCATAAGTTTTTAAGAAGGACAAGAATTTCGGATTATAACGGCACCACTTTCAGGATTTATTATATCCATTTTGAAATCGCTGATCTATGCAATCTGATTGGCTCTCAGTAGTGCGATTTATTCACAAATCCACTCAGTTCAATACATTGTAGAGATTGACAGCCAATATTGAATTCTACCAAAATGCCACCGCATCAAATGCCAGAAGAGAACGTCCTTGTGGATATCGACCTGTAAAATGTATAGACTGTATAATGCGTAGGATTCAATAGTCGAATGTGTTTATTTTAAGGACTTTCCAGACGAAAACGATCTCTAACGAGGCAATCCGTGACGTTATTACCTGACAGTCGGGTCTTTAAATGACGTCAATGCGTCACAGGTCGTCCTACGTTCGAAGTATTGTCGCCAATTCAATATATGATTTCAATAAGGACTTTAATTTCAAACTACCTTTTTTAAAAATAGTGTCAGAATACTGACAAGTTTCGGTGTCCTGATAAGAAATTTTTCATTCAAGAAGCACCCTTTTACGACGCGACAGGATGTGTGGACAGAAACGGTTTGTGAGCATGTTTACTTTACTTTTTGTAATATGTTATATACCTATAAATGCCTAGTTAGGCTGTAAAGTCTTTTCTATGGATGAAATATATCCATTTCTGAATATATTTGTCCACTCTGTGAAGGCATTGCGTGATTTTTCCCAAACTTTCCGTCGCCAAAGAGGGCCTAAACGTTTTTGGCCTCTTAAATAGCACTTAAAAAGTAGAGTTGAAGGCCAAAAAGCAAACGATTGAAGAGCAAAGATGAAGTTTTGAAAATTGGGAGGACTGAAAGTTTATTCCCGTTACATCACAGTAGTGAAATCTTTTTACCTCGATTATTTGCGCCAATACTTGTATTTAAAGTGACTGGGGAGGTTTAAATTTAAAGGTAAAGCCTCTGAATCCGAAATTCTGCTCATTCGATGTGACTTTCAATCCTGTTTCTTAAAAGATGTGTAACGCCCCCGTTTGTCTCTTTCACAATAATTCTAGTGCTGAGATGGCTACTTCTGTGGGCTGTATTTAAATCAAGACTGTATTTCAATTAAACTAAACGGCTGCAATGCATGCGAAACTTGGATTAAAAGTCTTTTTTATCCTCATTTCCAATTGCCAAGGGAAAAGAAAAGAAAAACTTTTATTAATATGTATGTAAAATATGTCCTTCAGAACGCATCAAAATAGCCATTTACGTCACCCTTGATCTTTGGGAGTGAAATTTCCTGACAATACGTAAGCCATGGACGTCAATGAAAGTTAAAACAGAATTATACCACAGATATCTATTTTTATCCCCCCTCCTGAAAATTAAGTAAATCAGTTTTCAACTAACCGAGTTTCGAAGTTCTAAGGTCCTTGATTGCATATGCCGCCATTTTGAAAACAAATCAGTCCCCTGAGAACACACACGCCAAAATGAGGGAACCACATCGCCACTCACAAACTATAGTATCAAAACAAAAATACAAATGATAAATAGATAAATAAATACCTACATATTTGTATTAAAACAAGAAAATCATTATTTGAGTCGAGAATGGCTTTATTAGTAAGGCCTAGTTGCTCGTACAGGTTTCCAAGAAATAGAAACACGCGGAGAGAAAGAAAGACAAGTGTATAGGTTGCCTGGCAACATTCAACTTAAAGCAGTGAAGAGATGAATATTATATGGCTTGTGGTTTGACACTTTCCTATTTTCTTCTGAGGAAACATAAATCTCAGAAGAAAAAGTGATGTCGCCATAAGGTCACAAAGGCTCTAAAGTAAAGACTTGTATAGTTTGGAAAAATTCACGTGTGGCAATAGTTGAAATATTTATTCCAGAACTCTTGTCCAGCGGTTTATCGATTTGGGAAGATAATGTCAGTCTTTAAATCGTGAAACTAGCTAAAGCAAGGGTGCTAAGCAGGTGATCTTCAATATAATGTTGTTTTAAAAGGAGGGACAAGCAGGACGATAAAAGGGAAGTATCAGTTTTCGGAAGTAAAATTTAGACACAGAGAAGGGGATTGTAAGCTCTCATTCATTAGGTTTGTAACTAGTTTTCTACTTTCTGTTCCATTGGTGACACGTTCACTCGTGCCCTTGAATAAGTTGTCAATGCCCACCCAAATACCGTAGTTTAAAGAGAGGTACGTTGAAATTGATTTCAAATTCTACCAAGTGAACTAAAAGGT